TAAATGGGTGACATGGAACTGTCGACGGGGTATGATAAATTTCAACATATTTGATAGTATTAAAAAAGATGGCATAATCTGCAGCTAGATGGTGCAAGAAAGCATGAATTGAAGTATTTTTATAAATTACCAAGGGAAACGCCCTACGGCACTGTCGCTAAATGAAGTAATATACAAAATTGGCGAGAATGGGGTTAGGGAATAAATTAACTTTCCATTCACCGAAAAAAATGAATGTAAAGTCGGTCTGATTCCAACACAGGAATTGAAGTCAAGATGTTATCTGGTAAGCGTCTACCCTGCCCCTTTACAAGATCCAAACGAGGTGAATGGGGGATTATTAAGAGCTTTGTGATAAAGGACTGGGCATGGAATGGTCAATGCTTCGAGACAGCCCCGAGACCATGGATCCGAAACTTCTGGGGAACATATATTGTAACCTAAAAGAGAAAAGATAAGGCTAAATTTAACCATGATCCATAATAAACTGACATAAAGTGGGCAAAAATGAGGCGGATAGTCAACTGATTTTATGATGTAGAGCCGAGGCATTGATCACAGTATGAGCAGATCGTAACTCCCACAGACTATCTGAGATGAGGGTATATAATATGATGTATGATACAAGCGCCTAAAGCAGGGGAAAGTGGGGTGGTTCTTGGATTATGAGTCTGTAGTATGACATTGTTTGCTTGTTTCTAATACGCGGTGATAGATTATTGACATCAATGAGTTACCGTGTCGACTGTTCGATTGTACAACTCCCATCCTTGGCAAAGATTCCCGCCTCCAGCTTACATTAATCTTGTACGACAGCTCTAATAATGGGGTACGACGTCTATCATCGAGATCTATCTTACGGGCGATGTAAAAGTAGATGACAATGCTTGGCGTTGGATATAGAACGGCAAATCATATATATTCGATTGTATGCAAGTAGCTTTGTAACACAAGAGAATCTTTCTCTGATTGATTCAACCTCATACTGTTGACTATTCACTACCCCAACATCAATTTTGAGTCGTCGAATCTCAAGAATTATGGCTACAAAAGTAAATCCAAGCTTGGATCTCAACCAAGATACACGCAATGTTGTTTTGCAAAGAATGATGGGACTCAAACTTTTTGATCTTTTTGCAAGTCTTGTCGCGACAACTAGTCAACAAATTTCAGATACTGCGTACTTGAATTCATACAACTCGTGTGGTAATAAATTACCGCAAACTTCTGACGTTATTGTTGTCGGCGGAGGAATCCATGCTTTGATATACAATCCACGCAAGGAGTTTGGAGCTCCAGAATGGAAGTAAGCTTAATCTACAATCTCTTATCTTCATGCGCAGCATATCCAATAGACAAGTTGCGGAGATTCTGTCTTCCTAAAATCCTCGCGCCAATATGACAAAGGGTTCAAGAAATAGAAATCGTTCATGGACTATCGCTGATTTTCATGCACTTGCTAACTTAAATCACAGAGGGAAATACTACATCCCTGACCATCCTAGAGAAGTCACCCAGCCCAACCTACAAAATCGGCGAGTCAACATTAACAGTATTTGGACTTTGGCTTAAAACTGTCGGGATCCAAACTCCGATGCTTTCAAGACTCTTTGGACCAAAAGATGGCTTGGCATTTTTCTACTTTTCCACCGAAGGCAATCCAGAAGATTACACACAATTTGTTGCCAACGGACCTGCTGCAGATTTCGTACCAACACTTCAGGTCGAGAGGAAGATAAGTGAACTGATGCTCACACTCTATGCGCAACGCCTTGGAATAACAGTTCTTCATGGAAGAGAGGTCATTATTGATAAGAAATCCACGGTGATAGACGAAAGTGATGGAATGTCTCTTAGAGTACGAGACTCTGAGACGATGGTCGAGGAATTTGTGGACGCGAAGCTTGTAGTTGATGCCACAGGACGATTTCATCGCTTCATCTCGAAAGAAGCGCGTATTGAGCGTGTAGATGGGTTCAATACGAATGCGTACTGGGCGTACTTTGAGCAACTAGGAGATGAATCTGATATCCCGTTGAGACATTACGAAAGTGTCAACACAAATCATATATGTCTGCCTGAAGGGTATGTTCCAGTTTTCGACATTGATTTGAACGACACAAGCTAATATAGTCTTTTAGATGGGCTTGGGTCATTAGACTTCCTTCATGGGAGGGTAGCTCTATCCCTAATCTTACAGCCATGATCAATCATCTGTTGGATCTTAACGCGGCCAAAGCACCAGCAGACTCCTATCCTTCAGTACCTGAACTAGTTGCGAGATTCCGGGTCAAATTTCGTTGGGTTGTTAGCATTGGATTTGCACTTCGTTCCGATGTTGTTTACCCAGAGAATCTTTCCAGCTTCGGAAGTAACGAAGCGGAACAGAAGTTCAATTGGATTGTTTCTCGATACCAAAAAGTTACCCAACTAATGGAAAAGCACAAACTTATCGAGGATCTCTATGGCCCCGGAACAACCTGGTTTGTGCGCAAGAATTTGGCATTCCGTGCCCCACGAGTTACTGGAAACAATTGGCTGGCCATTGGTGATGCAACTGGTTTTACCAATCCACTATACTCCCCTGGCATCAACGCGAACATGAGCACTAGTATTTATGCCGCTAAAATGACGAAGAACTATCTCTCGGGGAAGGATTCATCCGTCAAGAAGGATCTATTCCGAAAGTACGAAGACTTTTGCAAAGACCGTGTTCCCAACAATCAACGCATGAACGTCTTCAATTACATGTGTATGCGATCCCCACATACTGGACCAATGGGACCTATCTGGCAGTACTTATGCGGAACCGGAAACGAGAAATTTCAAAATGCCAAGAATTTGAATTTGCAAAATGTGCATGAGTTTCTCACAACGTGGGATTGGGGTTCCAACAAAGAGGAATATATTGCGTTCAGCAAACTGGCCATTGAAATGCTAGATGGACCTTCGCATACTAAGCTATCCCAGAAAACTATTGATGAAGTCAAGAGACTTTCTGCTGAGCATCTGAAAAGAGCCATGGCTAGTGGCAAATACAAGGGAAGATGGGCGGGATTGTTGCGCTGGTACGATGATGATCTCAACTTTGTAGCAGACAAGGTTGACAGAGATGTATTGGCTAGAAGATGTGTAACATGTGGGGAGTGGAAAATGTTGAGACCAGATTGTAGGAAATGTGTATATTGTGGTTGGGAGCATACCGTTGAGGAAAGTACAAAGGTTCTGTACTGAAGTGGGAAATCCCCAAGCTGATTCGATGGGATGAATGTAATTAAAGGCAAAGCAGCGGAAGATTCGAAGTTTGGTAGTATTGGGACTCCTAGCGAGCCTGATCTCATGTAACCATCCCATCATCCAGAGCGACAAATTAATGAATAACATGTTTGATTCCAACATTGGCTTGATGGCGATGAAACATGCCCTATCACGATATTAGCCTGAAATGTGCGAATGAAGGCAAAAATGAAAGGCCTGAATAGTGTTTATTGGAACGGAAATTTGTCTGAATATATGTCATGTGTTCAGATATTTCTGAAGACGATGTAGAGTACGAATAGGAAGTGGGAAGTTGGTAGATTGTCGTTGATCGCGCCACATGTTTCTAGAAGCCTGAGCATTCCCGAGGCAAATCATGATCCTGGTTGTCCACGGGTATTCTAATTTTAGCTCAGCCACCTTTTGACAGCGGGAAAGTTTAACTAATCTAGTACTACACTTCATGAATGAGAATAATAGATGATTCCAAGGTTATTATTAATTCTCGATTGAGACTTTAAAGACTTCAAAATTACAAAATGAATTCATTCCGTTCGTATAAACCATACTTCAAAGCTAGGTAGTTTCTTTTATGTTTGGGCCTGTGCTGTGCCGAGAACGGCAAATATAACAACTGCCGATTCGACCATCAACACCCAATAACATAGCAATTCAATCCAGTCTCAACAGGGAGATTTACGAGCTCTCATTCCCTTCGAATACGAATGAACGTAACCTGTCACACGGTGAAAATCTGCTCCTGACTCCAACTCAAAAGCACAAGCCTATAACGGGTAATGTGCATCACGTATCCGGACTAAACCTTAGATGCCACAACGGTTTTTAGAACTTAAAACATGCCGGAATTATCTCAATGCCACCAAAACTCCCGAATTATATTGCTGTCGGTTCTCTTAAGAGACCATTCTAGGCAATCCAACTATGCCGCAGCAGAATTAGTCGCTGGCATACCATTCGTACACGCCCAAGCCGAGGTCTTCAAACAAAACGACGAATACAAAGAATTATTCCATTGGCCCGAAATTGAGAAATCTACCGAGACAATTCCCTGGAATCAAAAACGTTTTGCGGGGATGTTCATCCGTTTTCCCCGCTTCGTTCTCCCCAGCTGAGCGATATTATCCAGCGAGAGTAAATAGCCGATGATTCATCCCAAGTCGTAGGAAATATTTCCAAACCATGCATCCAAGATTGCAATGTGATAACTCCATCGTTATGGAAAGGAACCAGCTTGGTATTCGCCTATGTGGATTTGATAGTCAGACCGGAATTTTTGTCCATATATTCCGTATTATTGGTGTATAGCACAGCAGTCACTATTTAGATGATGCCAGTAGACGATCAGGAAAGCCATAGTTGATACGCCAATTACAGGGATGAATGTCTTTGAGGAACAATCTGGGATTTCTTAGAACTTAAAAGGACGGGAATGTGGATGAGACACAACAGTCGATGGGTCTATCAACTTCGACATCCATATCATGAATCGATTGTACAAGCGCGTCTATGACTTGTAATTGAGTAGTGATTTCTATTCAACGTCTCACTTGTGGATGGAAATTTATATTGTGAAACCATGAGGGAAATTTATCTAATTTCTAGGCATGATTCAAACTCGAGTCATCGGAGACTTTACCATTGTTATAGATACTAGCGAGAAGTTAGAATAGACTGAGCTATGCAATGGACAGGATGTTTATAGAATTTGACATGGAATCAGGACTATGAGACATGAGAACTGTACACAGATCATGTTTCAAGTATGAAATAAGCGACGGCTCGGCCAGATTTGGTGGGTATTAGAACCAAACCGAGCCACAGACAAGGCAATGTCATCTATTAAAGTTATCTATCCCATGGTTCCATGACCGCTCCAATAACTAAGCAGAGACAGCACAACTCTGACCCGCCCCAACCATCGAAATATTATCCAGCAAAAGATACACTGCCGGAGCACTTTGACTGTTACACTGCCAAGTAATTTTCAACTGTGCCGAATGAGTTATTGGAACTACCGTTGCCGGTCGTTGCGAATAGCCAGTTCTATAACTCGCTACATTCAAGTACGTAATAGTCGCTGTATCGATGACTACTCCTCCCACGGAAGCAGACAACACACAAGAAGCTGTTGGCAAGACGACGGGTCCCATTACTGACATGTAATAGATAAGAGTGTAGGATTGGCCGGGGATGAGGGAATCGATTTGCTGGGATATAACGGCTGTGCTTAAACGTTGACCAAAGAGGATACTGCGAGAGATTAGGTTCGCTTTTGGCAATTTGGTAAAGACTCAAGAGAGAGGAAGGGAACTTACACAAACTCATCGCCAGAATATGGAGTAAATGCACAATTGACCTTAGATTGTACATTGGCCCAATCACTAAAAACCCACGGCGTCTGATAAGAGCCAGATGTAGCGGTTTCAAAATCACCATTGACAACTACTTGGGTAGGTGACGGAGTGCAAGCTGGAATTGTAGTCGAGACAACGACCAGGGGGATGTTGCAGGAACTGTTATTGTTACAGTCTCGGCGATCACGGTTGGTTGAATTGAGAGACAGCTGCAAGCTGATGATTGTTGAGCCAAATCATATGTTGCTGTAAATGGATATGAGTCAGGTCTTGTCGTTCTCTTGAGAAAGGTCACAGTTGCTGGGCTGACGGTGGTGGTAGTTGTGATTAAAGTGGTCTTTGTGACGAAGAGGTACTGTTCATCTGCGTAACTCGGCTGGATGGAGAGTAGACTACTGCAATAAGAGCTTACTGGAGTACCAGCCGCTGCAAATACTAAAGCCGCCGCGTCTGTGCTACAAAACGCAGTTACAGAAGGGAGTGCAAGACTTGATGTTGTAGATGGAGCGCTTGTGATAGGAATCTCAGTTGTTCCTGGTAATTTTGAAGTACTGCTATTAATCTCTACACTAGAAGTGCTGGTGGGGAGAATCTCCGTGGTTGTGAGAGTCATTGGAGCATAAAACACTGTTCCTGAAGGAACATGCAAGCTTGTGAAATTCGGGATTGAATAAGCTGTTGAAGATATTGAGTACACAGTTACTGAAGGGAACTGCAATCGGGTGGAGTCTGTCACTTGGTGAGCAGTCGAAGACGCAGTTCCTCGAGGAATGTCGGATATTGTGGAGTTACTCATTGGGTACCTAACCGATGATGAGTATCCAGTTCCTGATATAGAGGAAGGGCTTGAGCTTCCGGTTCCAGTGGGTCGGTATAAAGATGTGGAATTCCCGAATAGATAGCTTTGTGCAGAGTGGGAAGCCTTTGTGCACTTTGTTCGGGAGTGGCGTGATCTTGTTTTTGTTGACTTGACTGCGATTGAGCGGCTGGAAGCCGATGCTGAAACAGACAAGGATGAGGGAACAATCGAACTGTCGGAAGCTGAAGTCGAAATTACACTTCCAGTGGATGAAACGGAAGGGAACGTAGTGAGCGATGATGCACCCTGGGTTGAAGATGCTGACTGGGTGACAGGGCAAACAGTTGTATAATCAACCACAGTATTGGTCACAGTAACAACTTTTCCGCTAGTACTATACGTGCTGGTTGAGAGAGAATAGACTGTTGAGGTTTTATATTGAACAGTTGGTTCTGGAGTTGGGGAAGACTTTTCTGTGATAGGGCAAACTGTCGTGTAATCAACGACGGTATCTGTCACTGTGAAAGTCTTTTCACTAGATGTGTATGTTCTAGTAGAGAAAGAATATACAGTTGATGTTGTATACTCAACCGTCGACTTGGGAGTTGGACTTGGGGACAATTCTTTTGTGATAGAACGGACGGTTGAATAATCTACTAAAGTTTTTGTAATTGTCTGCCCAAGGCTCGTGTATGCCGAAATTCTATAAATTGTCGATGTCTCATATGCAGCTGTGCTTTCACCAGCCAGCTCTCCCAGTGCTCGGAAGGTTGAGGTAACTTTAGCGGTGACAGGACAGACTGTTGTATAATCTACGATTGTTTTCGTAATAACTTCACCACTTGGATTTGTGTAACTAGATAAGGTGTACACTATCGATGTGGTATATTCAACTGGTGCCGTTGATTTGGGACTTGGGCTTTGTGTAATGTCATGGGTGACAGGGTAAACTGCGGGTAGAATCGACCACAGATTGGGTCTTTGTTACCAATAGTTCACTTAACTGAGTAGTATAAGTGGAGAGAGAGTATATGATCGAGCTAGTGAACTCGTTTCCGGACCCCGGGATGGCCTGCAAAGATGTAGGAACTACGGACACTATTGCGGAGGAAATGGTTGGAACAGAAGTTTTGAGAGAAGGGGATGCTTTGGTAGAGACTGAAAAGTCAATAGAGCCTAGAGCATATGACGACTGTCTGGTGAGCTTTGCTGTAGGCTGGGCCTGAATTAAACAAGAACATGCAGATGAGATACGAGATGCTGGAATCGCAGCTGGAATATAACCGGGAATACTGATGCTGTCATTCTCTAAGTATCTGCCACAAAACTGAGGTCCTGAGGTGTTCTGATTGATTAATGGTTGAAGACAATCGTCCTGTTCTACAATCAGCTACATTATATCAATATCAATACCCCTTAACATACCAATACACAATATTTTACCTGAGCTGGAGCACAAAAAGGAGTGTTTTCCGATACAACAGAACGCGCCAAAAGAATGACTGAGAAACAAAAAAACGACTTCATTTTAACGATTGTCAAAGAGTGTAGACACGACGCGAGAAACGAGGAGAAAATATTTTATGTGCAGCAAGCCAACTATATATCACGTCTAATCATACAACCTCGCTGTTCAAACTATTGAACGTTTGTGGCGCCATTATACTAGACGAATTCAGCAAAGCCAAGAAGCATCTTCACGAAGGCCTTTCTCACGATGTTGTAGGACTGGACCCTTCTGGACTCGGGGTACCCGATGGAATGGATAGATCTAATGTTCACCATGTTTTTGGAGAATATGGATGGCACTAATCTGGTACCTGTATTGGCACATTGAATCAGCACAAAATCATAAAATCGGCTCGCATCTGATATGCTTACAAGCATTGTTATTACCAAAGTAGTTGATGAGCTCCAACCTACTACCAATTTGGCTTAAAAATTTCTTCTCACCCCTGAATATTGGGCCACCTTTGTATTTTGGCACTCATCTGGCCCGCAATGTGCCATTCACTAGACAGCATGTAGATATGGTACGCGAAATCTCCGTGTGCTTTAAGATTATGGGGTTCTATCTCCCACTTATAGAAACGACCCCGTTCTGCATCAGATTGCAAAAGTTGAAGGGTACCGGTTTGTCCTGTCTGCCACCATTGCGAAGTTCAATTGCAGACAGGAACGGAAGTGATGAAGTGGTCTGTGCACACACAATGAAGAGGTTCACACCGTGCGTGCTGACCTTTCCGAAATTGATGTATTCCCAAATCGTCTAGAATGATATCCATACATCTCTCGATCCAATACTAGCAAATATTATAAGCTGTAAGCTTTGAATGTTCTTCCCAAGTCTCCTGGTAAAAAGTGAGGCAAAATGATCGTATAAGTTGCAAGCAGTAAAGGGTAAGACAGTAAAACGAACACCTCAAAATACTCCTGAAGAACACCAGAGCTACTCGAAATTTGGTAGCCAAACATCAATCAATCCCAGGAAACAAAAGAGAGACAACCCAAATGCCTCAAGCACTGGTCAAATACCGGTTTGTTCTCACTTGGAGCAAATAGATCAGCAGGATCGCACCCAGGATCGGAGATGTACTTATTTATGAAGATCATAAATTCGTCTTCGTTGGTCGTTGTCTTTAAATTGGCTGTCGATATTTCTCGGTGAGAAAGATTATGATATGTATGAAACTGGCTGGGAAAACCAGGCATATCCCTCAAATCGCCTTGCGGCTTTGAAATCGCGGTCATTGTAAGCTTCAACCATGTTGAAATCAGAAATCGAAGATTTAAATTTAGAAACTGCGGCAGGATGTGGTTATCATTTCTGTAAACGCCTAGTAGGTGCCCACGTTTGAATGTTCGAGAACGATAAAATCAAACGTTCGAGAAGCAATAAACGAATCTTCCTGCAAACACCTCGTGACTTTTGATGTTTGATGGATAGTTTTGTTGCACATCTATCGTGTTTGGAATTATCTAGAATGATTTCAAAGAACGGCTTAGAATGTTGCAAGTCTTCTTTACCCCACGCAAAAACCTCGTGTATATGAAACACATGTTTTGTATTTCAATCGATATATTATCAAGACAACTTCGACAATTAAATGAATTCTCTAATTTCCAATTTGTGATATTAAACATTACTCTTGTTAGAGTTTAAGATCTATAAAAACGTCTCCTAATCCTCTTCTGGTCCGTGATCTAATACTGATCTTTAGGAACCTCTTTCTTATTTTTACAAATGCCATCAAAATCACCATATATACCCATTCCTCTTTCTACAATGTCTACAAATTGATGGAACTCACAAGAAGCGCCAGGCCCGCCTTGGCATTCGGGAATTGGCCTTGGGGCAGTATTGGCGATGATCCTCACAAATTCCTGCACATCATCTTCATCATCTGCATCGCCTTTCAATCCTTTACATGTGAGTTTTTCGATTCCAACATGACCTAAGAATGGGATGAGTTCAGACATTTTCCATGATCGAGACCAATTTATACGATCGGTTGGAAATTCTTCGGCGAATGCATTGGAGGAATTGAAGAGGCCAAGGGCGGTGGCTATGAAAGGAGGAACTTCGCGATGGGTAAAAGACAAGAAGAATCGTTGGCCGTCGTCATCGGGAATCCCATTACCGGAAGATTCGGAATGTTGAGGCGCATGAAATTTGGAGAATAGATGCGCCGTGGTATTTAGCCAAGGAAATCCCAAATAAGGCGAAAGAGGATTACCATGGCCCACCATGCGCGAATATTTCATGTCCCACGCATATTCGTAAGCCATCCATTCATCGTCTGTGAAAACATCGCAGATCTTTGAAATCTTGCCCTTGATAGCAGATTCATACCCGCACATCTGTTGCAACCCCATTATGTCATAATTCCCAAGTTGGACTGGTGAATACTGCTGAAGTCTTGCGATGATCGACGGTGCATATTTTGCGAGGAAAGTTTGTAATTCTTCGTCTCCAGGTTTTTTGGTAAATGCATCGCATGCTTTATGTGGGACTTGGGAATGAAAGGACGATCGATTTGTTCCAATCTCGACGATTTCGACTTTTTGTGGAAAGACACTACCGAATGCCTTGGCCGTATCTTGTGTTCTTGACTTCTTGTCCGCATAGATTCGTTTCGTTGTGGGCACTAGTTCGGGATATCTGGATAACAAATGTTTGCTAACCTTTTTCGAGTCTTTGATTCCTTGAGGAGTGATTTGTTCCATTTGATTCTTTGGATCATCGATGGGAGTTTGCCATTTCTCAAAAAATGCGAGCGGGCCAGTCCATCCCTTCCTTTTCTTTCCTGATTTGGTGGTATATGTACTATCTAATTTTTTCAAAAATGGTTCGATGTAGGTTTCGTAATCGTCGTCATTAGCATAAATTGCGGCATGTCTGACAAGATAAGATGCAGCTGTAACTTCGCAGAGGCGAGGTGCTTTGTGATTAAGACCCGGGCCAATTGCATCGAAATATGGACTGATACCAGGAAGATGAAGGAGAGGATCGAATTTGTAATCCTGGGTATGAGAGTTTGCGGAATAATCTTGTGAAATACGAAGTGGAATTTGTGATGAAGAGACTGCCGGAATGGCCATTAAGGCCAAAGCCCATCCGTATTGAACCATATCAACAGGCAATCGATTGGGTTATGTATCAAAACATTGATAGATTCAATCTATTTTGCTTTCAAAAAATGACAGAAAATCGGCGAACACATTTCTATAAATGTTGGGAATTTGTACATGACATCATTGATTGGCTCGGCCCCTTACCGCTTTCCAAGTTCCTGGAGCGGGACGACTAGCGGCTCGGCATCGGTAGAGCTAATTCGGTTAGCTCGGTTATATACTTTGAGTCCCACCACATTTGTGAAGAAGTTTTTGTATCTAACAAAAAGACATTCGAAATGCTTGGTAACAAAACGATACCTCCAAACACTGCATTGATCATGAAACAACCTTTGGCTCATTGTCACCGCCACAAAGGATGATTGGACCACATCTATTGAGGAAATGTTGGAAATTTTCTTGCTTCACTCCACATAGGCAGAAAAAGGAGACCCCTTTCCCTATCAATATTGTTTATGAGAGTTCATGTTTACTTTGCTTTTGAGTGTATCAATATAAATCATCCATCCATAAGAATTTGTATCCAATCTCTACACAATTGTAGGAACCAATTGTCGCGCACTCACTAAGCTCCGGCGGTCGACATGATGGCCTCTCCATCACAGATCACAGTGCTTGCAACGACTATCTCGAGTTGCACTGCTATTGTAAATGAATACTTCTTGAAAAATAACCTTCCGATGCCATCCTTTGATATATCTGGTCCTTCTCGCATAATCATTCCATCTCATGAAAAAGAGGTTGCTGCGGCATATGCGGAGGTTTTGAAGGCAACCATGGAGCTTCATCATCTCATGTTAGGACCTACAGCAGCTTTGATGGGCACATCGGTTCGTAAAATTGACAATTCTATGGAAATTGTCAACTAAGCTAAACATGATTGTTTAGGCAATGGATAGTATGAGCTTGCAATTCATATATGCATATGATATGGTCAATACTTTCCCAATAAACGGCGAAGCGACCTTTGAACAAATCTCTGAGAAGTGCGGCTTAAACTTGATCGATACTCGCAGAATCTTGGGATATGCGATGACGAATCACATCTTCAAAGAGGTTCGGCCGGGAGTAGTAGCCCACACAGCAGCGTCCAAACTTCTAGCATCCGACTCTTTGTTAACGGATTATGTTGGAATCGTCACCGAGGAACGATTCCAGGCTGCTGCACATGTAATTTCTTTTATAGGTGACGCTTCATAACCCGACACTAATCGTATTATAGACAGTCGAGGCGGTGCAAAAATTTGGGTATGCAAAAGAGCCCAACCAAACTGTGAGGATACCAACACTTCAATTTTTAATACCGGCTATCGGAATTTTGAAGAGACTTCCTGTGGTATGTAATATGCTTACATGGTTGGTATTTTAGGGATACAGCATTGGTCACCGAACCAACAAAGGTCTTTACGAAGAATTGAGTGCTCATCCCTCTCGAGGGAAGCGTTTTGCCAACGCGATGTGCGCATTCACTTCCAGAAATGACCTCTCGCTCTTATGTGAACGCTACGACTGGAAAAGTCTTGAGTCAGCGACCATAGTTGATGTTGGCGGAGGGTATGGACCTATTAGCATTAGTCTAGCAAAAAAGTTCCCCGATTTGAATTTCATTGTACAGGACTTCGCAGGAGCAATCGCAGAAGGGCCAGCATACGTACCAGCTGAGATCTCAGATCGAATAAACTTCATGGAGTATGACATGTTGACTCCACAGACTGTTCGGGATATCGATGTGATATTCTTCCGTGCTATATTCCATAACTGGACGGATCATTATTGCATCAAAATCTTGCGAAATCAAATACCGGCGCTGAAGAAGGGATCGAGGTTACTTATCGTGGAACCACTATTGGTGGAGTCAGGAGAGCTTCCATGGCATGAGGAGAGAAAACTTCGGTGAGTTTAGTTCTCCATTTTGCAGATGATATTACTGATGAAGAGTGATTAAGAACGATGAATTTGAATATGCTTTCGTATTTTGGCTCTCGGGAGAAATCTATGGAAGATTGGAGAGAGCTTTTTCGGGAGGCAGATGAACGGTTCGAGATTAAAAATGCTGTGAAATTGGGAGATTCCCTTACTTCCATCCTGGAAGTCATGTGGACAGGGGAATAATTCTCACTGTCATTGATTTTGATAGTTGTAGATGGAATTTTGATCGATGAGCAATGCTGTGAGATCTCACATCATCGTGAATCGTAAAAGGTCGTTTTTGAGCGTGGCTTGAGATTTGTGGCTCAAGTCTTTGGTGATACATCCCTGGATTGGTGGGCGTGTCGGGGAATCTAACCTCTTTAAAAAGAACCCCTTGTGCAGCCCCCACGGTTTCAGTGCCGGGGTATTTAAACTTGACTACCCGCCCGATCTGTTCCAATCAGTTCTTGATATGCATGACAATTGTTGTGATCTAGCTGCAAATTTCACCCATTTTTTCTTCCGATATCGATGCAAGGAACGTGAGAGATCCCTGCAGAATCCATCACAGTCCACGAAAGTTTGCCCATGCTGACAGGTAATTGAGAGAGAGAGAGAGAGAGAGAGAATGGAATCACAATGAATGCTCTCTTGGTCGAGTGACCTGTTCTACTAAAGAATTTTTGGTGTTCAACTCTAACTCCTTTGAAGCCAACTGTGAAGGGGGGGGGCTCGAAATATAGCAATACAACAGCGGTATGCGCATCAAGATGATCCCAGCGACAAAATAGACAAGGCTGTTGATCTGAAAAGTCCGCCATCCGAAGTAACATTGGCAACTACCATGATACCATGAGTGACAATTTCAGCTCTCTATCCTACTTACTCTTCAGCAGAGCCGTGAAGCCTGAAACGGCAGCTTGCAGTATTGCAGCGGGTTTCCCTTTGAATGTGCTGTCATCAAGAATCCGTGTATTTGATAACATCCACTCGATGAGTTACCACAGTTGCGGTAAAGTCCGTTAACAGGGAAATGACGTATCTTCGGCATATAATACAAGGGCCAACACTCGAAAACACTGTATCCGAAGCAAATTCTGCAACCTTTGCGCTTTTTTCCTCTATAGAAACTCGATTGTCATTTATAACGTTTGTTTCAGGCTTCTGCTCGATCTCTAGAATCGAAAAATGACTGGTTGCTGGTCGTCCAAGGGATTGATGATCCCACTACTGTCTCAATTACCTAGTAGCTTGCTGTAGGTGAACGTTTGATATCCCCTTAATCCATGTTTAAGGCTCCAGCGCAGGGCATCTGAACCCATTCGGGTACTAAATTTCTTCATTTCCGCCCCTTTATGCACATCAGATCACATCCTGAGGCACAGTAATCAGCCTCAAGCATATAATCTCGCTTTAGTTTCAACTCAGGCACCGGTCCAATAAGAAAGATAGATGCAGATATCAAGTTCACATGCAATGTCGATGGCAAAAATCAAGAATTCACACGAATTCGGAGACGTGTTTTGGTTTACAATGCAGTCAAGCGACAGAATCCTACAGTCTTCTATGGCAATAATGCTAGATATATCTTAGTTGGTCTATTTGATCCATGCCATTGTTGACACTAGCATAACTCTAAGAGCGTTGTTCTTACCACTTGACGAAAATGGGATGAACCGCCAAGCTTGCGAAGCATCGACTTGTCGCTCAAACACTGTTCACGTCCCTATATTCAATCCAAGTGCTTTGTTTTTTGCAACCTTGACCGTTTCCAGATAATCAAAATCATGAACGACCAGAAAATGGCCAAATGTAGGTACATGATGCCTTTAAATCTTTTGGAGCACCCCAATGACGAGTATGAATATCCCCCATCTCATGAAAAGATCAGCTCTATTTTTGATGAAGCTGATCTCCACCGCAATCAGACAAAACGTTACATTACAAAGCAAACGCTTGAGTTTGAACATGAGTTCTTGTCCTCGAACCGCAAACGAAACATCCTCCAATGAGGGCAACAACACATTGGTGAAGAATGAAGATATATGCAACACTTCTACACTTTCACTCTCATCGACTTGGAGAGTATCAGCTGTGGGTTGGACGTTGTGTACGTGGGTATTAGCAACCGTGGCTGGCTGTTTGTTGAAAAAGAATAATTTTGGCACCTACGGTCTGAAAGATGTTAAAGCATCACAGAATTGTATTACGATTGGTTATATCCAAGACTCTTTAATTCTGGGCTTGAATATTCTAGCTCCTTTACTCTTGATGGGTTCTGATTATATCCGGCAATGTCTTCTAGCTCCCATCAGAATAGACATTGATGTAGCACACTCAAAGAATAAGTGGTTCATCATAGGCAACCAAGATTTCAGCAACTTCAGAATTGTACCTATTGTTGCAAGAATTCTTTGGATTTCTTTGTTGTTAAATTCGCTTCCTATTCAACTATTGTAGGTCTTCCAATTATTAGGCACTGCATTGAGATGACACTGATGCAGCTTTCTAGGCTCAATGGTTTATTTTTTGTCTCTGATACTTCCTCCGATGCTTTCGAGGTTATAGTATCCCCAGAGTGAAATACCAAGCCAACAAAATTCAACGTTTCAAATGTTTCAATTTACCAACCAATCGTAGATAGGAATGCCTCTTCAATGGCTTAGGCCACTCTTGAACCACTTCAAGAAGCTCTGGAAGATCTTCAATCACAAAAAATCGACCGCGCCATGGTTCTGCAGTCATCCACACGCCTTGAACATGATATAAGGCAGGAGGTGTCGATATTTCCATCGCCACCCGTAGGTTCAGGGAACTGGGCTAACTTGTCCATTGCCGACTGCGCTACAATGTATCATGATGCGAATAATGGTATGTTAACCACGATCGTCATAGTGTCAGATTATGTACCCAAACCCAATGAAAGTGGTGGTATCCTTGCAATTGGTGGCGTGCCTGGATTTACACCAAAAGGTTCATATGGACCTGCACAACTCTGTCCCAATGACTTCCTGGATTCCACATCAGAGTATCTGTATTCAAATAGCACCTTGCATCTAATAAAAGCAGAGGCAAACGGCGAAAATATTGCGTATTCATTGTGCTCTGGATATGCTGTTGAAACTCCTCGAAACGATATTGAACCGCAGGCAGAATACTGTTTGTTGTACCGAGAGCCGCCCTCAGTGTGTAAGCTCCAATTCAGTCCTATTGCACTGCAAATTCTTTACTATGCTGTCATAGCTAAGGCGTCTTTAATGACTGCTGCTATGGTCTATTTATTTTTCCATTTCAAGACGGTACGATATTCAACGTTGGAGACGCTATGGCTTCTTATCTCGAACATCCCGAAAACTCTCCTAACTCCATATTGTGCAATCAAACACGGGCAAAATCATGGCCCACTGCAATTTCCTTCTTAGGCGATGTTAGAAAGCCAACTTTGTCGAAAGGGTACTGCAAAAGATCTTTCGAAATTCTGATCGCTATTCTGGATTGGGCACACATGATGAAAACACGGAAACGAATCAGAAGACTCACGATTCGTAACATACATGGTAGCGACGAGAATGAAGTGATATCACAAGCTGGGATACCAAACGGTAAAGGTCCTGGGTGGTCTAGAAGGCTTTACTATTATAGCTGGACACTCGCAATAGTAACCGCTGCAACGACAATGGCCACGATCCCACAGTGGTGCGAACACTTTTCAGCTCCCAAATTATCGGAAGACACTATGTGGATAGTCGAGGTAGATATCACACATATTTGCGGAGTCTGTCATCACCACTAACACAATGAATAGGTACTATTTTATTCCAATATTCTTCAAGTGGTGTTTTGGCTCCAGGACTCCATGTATCTTCTGTATCGCAACATGTCCGAGTCCCGTGCCTCTCTACTCTCTTACACAACTTCATCATCAGCACTAAGCGTGACCTCTCCCCGACCAGATACCTCTCAATCTTCTACTCCATTCCTCACTTTCACGAAGCGCGAATTTATCCTCATTCAAATCCGTTCCATCATCCTGCATTTCTGGGCTTCTCTTATTATATCCATGAGCGCTACAAGTGTCGTCCCCTTGAATCGTAACGAGCCTTCAATACCATCCGTGTACGTCTATTCCATTCTCAACTCTCCAAGCAATGGGATCGGCTCTTTTGCGATCAAAATTGCTATTCCTCTGGTTCTCAATGCAAGCTTGTGGTGTTACGCAGCTTCTTCAGAAGCTGGTTTGAGCGGAACACGGAGGTTGCATCCTTTCTTGAGGGGAGACACTACGTCTATCTCTATTAGCGCATCATGTAATCCTCCATCTGAAGAAGGAGATATTTCGGGTAAGGAGATCACTTGGGGTTGTATTCGAGATCAAGATGGTAATCTCCAGTATCCTACAATGACAAGAAAACCAGTCGATGAAGTAGAATGGACGCAAGGGATTCTGAACGATCTTGCATTTCCCCAACCTACCGATCACAATGGATTTGATGTTGGAGAAATGGCAGTGTTATGTTTGGACGTTGATTACCATATTCCGATGGAGCGAATCAATCAAAAGGCTATCAATCATGTGTTAAGTGTCAGATTACCTTGTAGAGTCTTATCTCGAGAGTCGGGTTTGGATGATGATGGGGAGCGGTACAGACTTATGACTTTGACGGGGACTTGGAAACATAGATACAAAAATGAAAACTTAAGAGCGTGGAATGAATATATGGATGGAGAGAAGTGCGGGATAAAGTTGGGTAATGAGGAAAGGGAAACTGGGGAGGGTGAGGCGGTCAAGGAGTATTTTGCAAGAGAAAGCTTGTTTTATTGGTATTTGATGGGCTTCCCAAGAGATTTTGGGATCCCATGATGTTTTAATTATCATACATTAGATAGCGATGTAATAATAGCTAGGTAGCTACCTAGTCAGCATTGTCAAAAAATAGTCAGATATATGATCTATTTGTCCACGTAGAAGATACGGTGGCCGGTTCTGTAATTCTCAACCACACTGCATGAGTGTTTCGGCCACCGTAGTTTGCGTACCTGAATCTCCGAAGTCTCTATCACAAGTCACCTTGGATCATGTATAGATCAAGGGATACTCATCTCTGATTGTTTCTGTCTCTTCAGAGATCATAACCCCTAGAACTCACTCTTCACCAATTGCTGTTCTATAGTATCATATGTCAGTTCAAACGCGATGCCTCAACAAATCTCATACCGTCCCGTTTCAGACTCTCCCGACGCTGCCTATCATCTGATATTCTTCATCACGGGCAATCCAGGATTGATAGGTTACTAGTATTAGTATTTCTCGATATGTATATATTCCTTCATTGACACTTACATAGCTCGACCTTCCTTTCACTACTCAACGATCTCCTGTCTTCCTCGCCCACCAAGACTTCGGATACCTACCATATATTTGGCCAATCCTTGGCTGGTTTTGAGACGGACGATATCCCCTCTGAGTCTCCCAATAAAGATCCATTCTCACTGCAACAGCAAATAGATCTTGTTCATGATTGCCTAGTAGAGCAGACTAATGGTTCATCCATACCATACAAAAATGTGATCTTGATAGGGCATTCAGTGAGTTTCCCAAACTTCTATGGAAAGCTTGTTCTAAGTTTCTAGGTCGGATCATACATCCTTCTGGAAACTCTTTCCAAACTTAACGCGCCGGCTGCAATCCCTTCAATATCTGCAGTTTTGTCAGGAATTCTTCTGTTCCCAACGGTTACTCACATTTCTCACTCCCCTTCCGGTGCAAAACTCACGCCTTTAATGTCGATTCCGAATTTTCCTGTATTGGCGTCTTCCACGGCTAAAATGCTTCTTTATTGTGCTCCGAACGTTGTTTTGGATTTCCTCGTGAAAAGGATCACTGGAATGCCAGAGGAAGCAGCGAAAGTCACCACGAGCTTTTTGAGAAGTAGAAATGGTATTTGGCAAGCATTGTATGTTCATCTGCCCCTGGATCATGACAACACTGATGGAGTCTTCAGACATCTTGCACGTGACGAAATGAACATTATCACAGATGACAAATGGGATTCGGAGATCTGGGGTGTTGAGCATTCCGAGTCGTCTCAGTCTTCTCCACCTAAGCTCATTTTTTATTTTGGCGAAAATGTATGTTTTAGCCTGACACTCGTGAGCCTGTGCTGATAAAAAAAACAGGATCATTGGGTAGCATCTCATACTCGCGATGCGCTCATTGCTGCGCGAGCTTCTCCCGTGCCGGCATCAGCCTCTTCCACCTCCTCATTTTCAATCAAGGAAACTAAGAAGCCCATCATGATGATTGACAAAGAGGGGATCGATCATGGATTCTGCATCAGTGAGTACCTTGTCTCGGTCTAGAACTAATTCATGAGGGGCTGAACGGCTGAGGACAATTTACTAATTGGATGCGACGTAGATCACAGCGAAACAATGGCAACCAAAGTGAAAGACTGGATTGATAAAATAACTCAAAATGCAGAATGAAATATGTTGTAGCCTGAATACCTAAATACGAACAACTGTTCAAGATCGACGATTGTTGCAGTGTTGCAGATTGTCCACGACACAAACTTTTTGGACCAGTGTAATTCGAAGTGCGGCTCCCATAAATTCGCTTTATGGATGCTCACATCGTGGTATATTTTCAGCCTTTCTTTCTTGGCGCACGTTGTACATATTAATGGTAGTTGAATTTGTGGGGGGTTACTTCACTTTACTGTTTTATTTCCGGTTCTTCAACTTTGACGACTAGTGTCGAATGATTTCGGAGGACAAGTTGTCCAGCTCAAGTTTCAGCTTCATCGCAAACTTTTCCACTTTGCAATTTTGATTATATTTACAGGTGTATTATGAGGTCACGACATGGGTGATGCGGGGAGGCGAACTCATTCGGTGGCCAGAATGAGCGGGGATTGTTACACCATGTAACCTCACAATCCGGTGCTGTATATCCTTTTGGGTCTGTCTGCATGTAGCCCCCAAAGGTTCGGATATTTCTCAACCAATTCATCAATTGAGGAACCATTCAATCTTCACGTAGGCGCTGACTCATCAATAGATGCGTCAAACCCGTTCTCCGTAAAGACAAAGTTGATTGAGACTGAACGTTGTGCTGAGCTCTGAAATCTCTTCTGGCGCTGATCGCGCAATTATCTTAAAAATTGATCATTGGGAGCTAGCTTACCCTTGATGCGGCTCAATAAACTAGATAGTTTATCTTTCTTGTTTAATGACTTTTATCTGTGTATTGTAGGACGCTTTTGAATTCTAAAAAAAGCATCTCGTGTTCATGGCTGAACCGAATCCAGCAAATACAGACGGCGCCAATGGCACCGCTGCTTTGAATAAAGATTTTAATGACGATTCAATACCTCAGGAGCTCCTTAAGACAGACGATTACGTTTCGATATACTTACGTTGCCGATATGACCGACGTGGTCATATCGAGAACGGACAACTAGACGATTTTGAAGCGAGTCTTCCAGATGATTTCAGAAAAGGATTGCCAGGAGACTATAAGAAGAAGATCAAACATGAATTAGATCGCATTGCTGAATTGCGAGCAATATTTTCTGGAAGAGAGAGAAATCTTTCTGACATTACAAAGTTGAACAAGTTCAAGGTAGCCTGGAAAAATAACGCTATCGACTCTTCTCAGGAAAACTCGAAAAACAATGCACGCGAGCTAAATGAACTGAAGAAGCAACAGGAAGGATTGAGCCGAAAATTCGAGGCTCCCCAAAATGAATCAACGACGGCTACGCAGGTCGGAAAAGACCTAGCGGAAAATGATCGAAAGATACTTGCAGCGGAAAATAAAGATAGGATCCTAAAAGAGGTGGCAAAGTGGAATCATCCTTGTGTTTCGATTGCCGAAGCAGAAAAACTTGTTTCAGATGACTCTGGATATGGGTTTAACGTTTCAAAAATTACCTTAGAGAAGGGGAAATTGAACGATGCGGACAAGACGGCATCTTTTGACCAGTATCAAATAAAAAAGTATTCTGTTTCGGAGGTACTAGATTTTGTTGGTGGACAAGATCCATGGGCAAGAGAAAATACTGAAAGTATTCGCTACTTTCATTTCCCTGCTAATAACATGAAATGGATTGAAGTGAGTCTTCAAATATGGGGTGCCTTCACATGGAACTAATCTTTTCTGAAGAAAGCAATACAAAGACACTACAAAGAGAGCGAAGACCATCGACCTCAGACATCAAAAATTCTTTCTAGGGAACTGTGGACAGGGCAGCAGCATGGAGCTCTAGATGATCCGCTTCATGCTCGGCACATGCGGTCGCACTGCAAACATATTCCTCAAGGTAGATCACCTCTTCATAGATGAATGTTATTACTGCTGACAGGAATAGATCCGGAGGTAGATGCCATTCTTGCTGAAAATCACCATGATTCTCCGAAAAGAAGAAATAATAATATAGTCCTTGTCGTAAGATCGAATCTACATTTATTTTGTTTGTGAACTGACGGGTTTTGCAGATGCCTTATCTTCACTGGGAGATGGATCGAAAGAGAGCTCACATGGCTAAAATTGCGAAAGAACTCACATCTAAGTATCAAGCAAAACAGCCTCGTCACCACATCCTTAACAAAAGTATACTTGCAGAGATCGTCGAAAGTAATAGGAAGAAATATGGCTTCCTACAACAGCTCGAGGTCAAGGAGCGTGCGGGCTTGGATGTTCCTGCTCCTTCTGGTGAATCAAAGCAGATGACTGGGCTCAGCCGTTTCCTTCGAACCAGTTCTAAAACTGGTTTGAATCAAAACTTTTCGGGAAAGATCACAAATCCCTGTGGTTGTTATTTGATGCAAGCTGCGAAAGTCTACGAGGCAATGGATCTTGAACCGGATATCAAATTATTACGCAGCCATTTGCATGAAACACCGCCTTTTCATCCACGTCGTACGCTTGATCAGTCCTACTACTTCAAGCTTGAAAATACTGATTCTCGGGACAAGGATCAGGTTGTTTCTCGTGGTACAAATGAGCGGAGGAAAACTAACGGGGGCACCCGTGTAGTGATGGTCGATCAGCTATGGATGTATATTCTTGACGAACGTGGGTTGCCTTTTGGAGAGAGCACTCATTTCTTTTCACAGGGTCACATTATTGACACGCACATAGATACCATCATTACTAGCTTCCCAAGAAGGCTGGGTCGTAACAAACCTGACTCCTCTGGTGTGCATAAATGTATCAGAGACCGACTCGAAAATATACGTCCAGGCCAGATCAATTCAGTTTATGATTTGGCTCTTTTGATTATAAATGAGTGTTCAATGGTGTTTTTTGATCGCACAAAGCCTACTGGTAAACGCCCCGAGGTTTTGGATATATTTTCCAATGCGATTGGTTATGTTGTGAGTGTAGACGCATTAACATGTCATATGTAATATCAGCTGATAAACAATAGTCCGAAATGAAAACGAACGCGTTCGAGCTATTCTGGCGTCATCTTGAGAAACTGAGTGGCCAGAAACTGAAGACCAGCCCAGAAAGGGCACGAATGTATCTCAATATTAATCCCGAAGGGGTTTTGCTACGAGAGGCCCACGATATCATCGAAGAATTGAAAATGATGTCGCATATTAATTTGCAACAGTGAGTACTCTTCCGATTGGTACTCTTTTTTCTCGTGGAACAATACTCTTCTCCCTCTGTTATTGTCCCTTTATTTCACATTCTGAGCTCACCCTTATTTAGGTTACAAATTACGCAAGTCTTCTCAAAAGCCCTACAGACAATTAATGGACAGGTGGAGCCAATGCAAGAAATAACTGGCCTCTTGAATCTTACGTTAAAAGAACTGCAAAAGAAGAATTCCTCGGATTCAAATGGCTTAACCAACGACTCACCGGCTAAGGATACTCCCACAAAGTTCAGCAAAGGCATTCTAAAACATACCATTGATCAATCCTTAGATCTGGTTGACACTATATCTAATCATCACAGCGAATTGCAACAGCTCGAGGAAAGTGCCCGTGAAATTGCCGAACAATTACGAGACCTACTCACACTAAAACAACAACAAGCTAGTATCATAGAAGCCACCGCTTCACTGGACCGCGCGGATGAAAGTGTGCATCAAGGTCGATCTATCATGATATTCACCATTATCACCATTATTTTCCTTCCGTTACCTTTCATGAGCAGTATATTCGGTATGAATGCGGTGGAGTTTACTGGATCGTCAAACTCCGTTATGGGCATTAGAGAACAGTTCGAGTTCATGTGTTCGTTGGCCCATTGCTGCCCCCAATCTTATCTTATATCAATGCTGAGACTTATGCTATAGTTCCGATATCAATCGCGCTGACTTTGTTCTTCCTTTGTATGGCACTCAAACCACCGAGGCCAACACTTACGATATTTCCCTTCTTTTTATTCTTTCCTATTGTTTTGTTCAAGGCGGCATGGTATGGATATAGAGGAAAGCCGGAAAAATGGCAGCGGCTCTCTTGTTACTTGCTTGTCGGTTCAGCCAAGGAAAAGATGGGAGAAAGGTACAGGGACATGGCTACAAATGTGTATCGGTGGTGTGCTGCGTCAAACGCCAAAGACACGATTGAACCACAACCCAAGAATTCAGGTAACAAGGAGCAAGCAGCCCCAAATGATGAATCGTGTGAGGTATTCTACCTTGGCGGGGACAAATTCAAGGATTCTGCTTCTATGATTGAAGGAGACGTTGTTTGATCTCGGGGTTCTATATTTATACCACTGTAAAGATACTTTGAGAGTGTAGGGATCGAGGTGTGGCTCGTCTTATTATGTATGCTATTTATCTGGGATCTGGTTTAAGCGCAGATGATTTTGTTGGATTAACGCTCGAGTAATTGAATTGAATTTAGAAAAGTTGAGCTTGAGTGATCATGAGCTCCGAACGTGGCTGTTAACCTTTGGTGTCTTATCTGCAATCTTCTACCTCTGTCAAGCCTCGTCAAGGATTAGCGTTGATTATAGTCTGAATAATTGACTTCCAAGTATGTTTCTCGCGATCATGCAGCACCCCTGGAAAACACTTCAATCAGTACATATTTGCCAAAATCACTGCCAGAAATCGTTTGGACAATCACCTTCCGATTCAGCTCTTTAAAGACATATGATTATCTAGACATTGAGTAGTCCTATCGCTGCGATTGTGCTTCCAGTTCTCAACGTTTTTAATCTAATCAATCTTCACCCAACCTCTCCAGACAAGCCTCCTGATCGACAACAAGTTTTTTTCGAATCACCAATGTCTTCAAAATTGGCTCATCCTCGTATTTGTACCCCGAATCACCACGCACTATCTCACACTGCCTTCCACACGCACTTTTGTCACCCCTGTGGACATCAGTTTCCCGAGGACATATATAAACTTCTTCTGTATCCCAACGCGGATAATACACTGCATTTTCATCTGTCCATAGAGTTTCCGACCAGAAATCGTCCAACTCTTCTACGGAACACTGAACACGTACTGCATGGAGATATCTCTTGTTCTTTAACCAATTCTCTAATTGTGCAATCTGGAAATATCTTGCTTCTCCTAGAAGTGCGAGATATAGAATGTGGTCGTGACCTTTTTCGGGATGGTAGAAAATAGGAAGCACACTTCGTCGAAGATACCGCAGGATATGTTCGAAGAGGTCGGGATCCGCATCGATCAAATAAGAGCCATCTGCTTGCTTGTTACTATCCCAGCGCCCTGACATTAGTGCCGCGAAAAAATGGCTCTCTCCTGTCATCGTATTCTTTGTGGTGATGAATCGCCGTTCTCCCACTTGAATGGTGATAGGACCGCCCGCTGCTGGAGCTATACGGTGATTCATGCGTGAATTGGAGTTCATAATATTTGACATTTGAATGGATCTGACTGTTAGCTTTTGAATCAACTGTCTGGTATTTGATCTTGTAAGATCGGTGGAAGATTTCGGAAAAAAAGGACAATGTTACTTCTTGCTTGGTTTCAGGTACCTTGATCCCCAGAAGGCGTGGATCGCTATGTAGTTAAGGTATTTGGAATCTAGCTAATAGTATGGATACCAATAGTTAATCATAAACTGACTGAGACGAATTCTTTATGGTCAAGGGTTTCGAAGTTAATGTACACTGTATACCAAAGAACGAAAGGTTTCCATGGGGGTCGGATATCATTCAAGCAATCGTTATTTGACAAAGGAATTGACTGCATAACCAAGGAGCTGATGTATTTACATCGACTTCCATCACTGACATTCCATCACTCACAACGAGAGTTTGAGTCTTGGACGACAAATCGATGTGCTGGCTGCTTCTTGCTTCATATGGTTGATTCCATTATACCTTATAGCTAGGTAGATCTCGAATGAGATGGAAACCATCATCTTTCTCCCCATCCCGCCAGAATTCGTTCGAAGAGTCTGTGTCGATAATTGAAATACCGAATATGACCGGATAGACCTGTTCGTATGACTGATGCTAGAAGCTACTCTGTTTGTTGTGTGTTTGCTCCGAGATAGTAGAGATGTGGTAACTATAGGCACTGGCCCTTGTATCCCCGCTTGGTCAAAATGTCCTCACCATAACATTCATAGAGGTACAACTGCGCAGCTTTGCACTTTAACTTCTCCAAGTACTACCACGATAACATGTTTCAGCTTGATAATATCATGAGGATTTATGAATTTGATACCGACTCAGGGATGTCTTGAAGCTTTGACAATTCCATCAATTGGGAGGCTGTCATGATTACGTCATCATCCATTCCAATGTTCAGCTTGAATGGCACTACACGCTGAACTTCCAACGACACTCAACATTCGATTACTTTCGTTCTATCCAAGTAAACTCATGTTCTACATTCAACGATCAATTCTACACGTAAATTCTTGAAAATGGTTGTCGCCGGTACAATTTCACGCGTTCAGAGGATGGTTGATCGCGTTGTAACCCCTGAACAGAGATCCCAGTTCTATGGGAATGTCTCCGAGTTCTTTCAAGAACAACCTCTTATTGCTGTATGTATATTTCTGTTCCTGTCACCTCTGAGTGATTTCAAGTATCAGCTGGTTCAGTCTGTGGCGAATTCTCCATGGGTTCTGCAGCTGAGTCCACTCTTTTTCCACTCTTCATTTGTCAACATACATACCATTAACTCTTATCTCTACCTCCATCAATACCCATGCCAATGAGATCCCACTTTCATCTCCTATCTCCCATCTCCCCACAACTTCACTAACCGCACTCGATAGACATTCCTCCTCGCGACCCTGAGCATCTCTCTTGTGCCCCTCTTCCTGTTTACAACATTCACCCTCTCGGTCCTCGCGTTTTCCTTCGTATCCGCTATCCTCTTCTCTTTCTTCTGGATCGGAATTGCGTTGCTCTTACTTGTGCCAACTCTCTTCGTTACTTGCGGAGTGGGGATTCTGGTGTGGGTATGGGCTGTTAGTTCATGGGTTGTGGCAAGATGGCTTTATGGATTTGTGCCTGCGAGTAATGGGACAGGGGAATTGAGATTCCCAAACGGGAAGAGAATGGTGGTGAAGAAGGAAGAGGGAGAGGTGCCAAGGGCGGAAATCAGAAATGGAATTTGACTACGCGATGCTATGAAAGTAGAGAATGAAGATGGAGCGCGGGATGGGGAGCAAGGATGGTAAATAGGTAATCAGGCGGACTTGGAGTGGCGGAGTACATTGCCTGTAAGACTAGGAATCTGGGATCATGGAAATGGAAATGGATAGATGGATGGGGCGAACGGGGTACATAGAAATGGAATATTTGGGAACTTTCGAAAAAGAACGGAACACGTATAAGGTCTGTTCAGCCAATTTTGCTGGCATTATTTCATTTACACTGTCATAAGATATTGATTGGGAGCTCTTCTTTATCTTCTTCTTTAGCCTACAAAAGCTTTTGACTTCTACCCTGAGGATCAAAAGCCAGATCTACATGTCGGTGCAAGGAACTATATGTCTATATGACTCCATCGAGAAGGGACATTCGCTACTCCCTCGCATCAGTCTCCCCAGCGTCATCAATTAGATCTATTCTACCTCGTGTTGCTTGCTCACAAGAACAGTACCACAGCAAGACAGTTCACATTTGTGTAAAAGAAAACGTACAGGTAAGAGATCGGGCAGATGGTAAAATACGTGGGTTGAAGCTCGGAATGAGGTTTTGTCTTGAGCTAGATCCTATTCCAATCGGATGATATACTAAAACAACACACTCCAATTCACTGAACATTGACCGTCGCGCTATTGCTCATTTTAAAAATTTAATTGGCCAAACAAACGCGTGGATGTTTTGAGCTTGTTTACCTGACCTGCCACGGTATCATTTTCAAATTCACGCTCTCTTGATGTTTGAATATTTGGTGCACACATCACTTGGAATTGACATAAATCAACAATTCCACAACACAGAGGGTACCACATCTTCAGTCAATCACATTCGACCGACAATATGATGGTCGACTACGCAAAGTATCGAGTGGTAGAATTGAAGGAGGTTCTCAAAGCTCGTCAACTTCGAACTGATGGCTTGAAAGCTGCTTTGGTGCAACGTTTGACACAATCAGATGCTCGTCATGTTTCCATCGAGGAGGTGGTCAATCAAAGAGTCAAATCGAATGTAGCCTCTACTGCGTAAGTACTATCAATAACTTTGGATCTTTTCCATCTTCATTTTGCTGTCACCTCTCTGGTTGATGATCATCGCGGGGAGCATTCACGCGACGGAAGAAGGCTCGTGGATAAACCCAACTTTCGCTGTGGTCCTCGATTATGATCATTTGACTAATTTTATTTTAGGCCTCCACCTCCATCGCAAAATGGAGCTGTCAACCTGAATCTTGACAATCTGCTTCAAACTATGGATAATCTTCAAAACATACCAGGCTTCACTCTCACAGCAGCGGGTCACACGATGCTCAACCAAGAGAACATGCATGTCTCTGCTCAGAGCCAAAGTACGCAATCCGCTTTCCCAACGAACAATTACCCACAATCCCCTCCAGGCAATAGTCATAATGCTGTTACATTCAGCGAGAATGATTTCAGTGATGATGATTATCTAGACTTGGACACAAACTACGACTTGCCAATGTCTCAAACGTCCTTCACCAATTCTCAGCCGCAATCTCAGCCTGGCGCGCACAGTCAAAACTTCATGTCTCCTTCCTCTCAAGCCTATGGTATGACTCCACCAGCTTCAAGCTTCCAACAAGGCTATCGCCCAATGTCGCAGTCGCAAAAGTCGTATCTACCGGCAACTCCTACACCACGTCAGCCATTGGCAAATATTTCAAGTAACCAAATGTCACCACCATCGTCCGTTGAGGTTGGCCAAAAGGTCTTGGTCTATGGTCCCTATTTGACGTTCTATCAGCTAGAGCAAATGCATCCAAATGGCCAAAAATTTCAGGATGAGAATGCAAAACTTGCACGCAGAAGATGGTTGGCAAAGTTGGGTATTGACGTTTCGCCATACAACTTTGTGTTCACTAATGAGTCACAAAGAGACAAAGTCGAAATTCATTGGGCTTTGAAATCTCCAGAAGAGCGCCGAGATATTGAACAGAAAGCTGTTCAATTGAAGCCACCCTATCAACTCACGCAAGCGGTGCCACTACGATTGGCACCTTTCGCTTTGCGAACACCTGTTCCAATCAATTTGATTGGCCCGATCCCGCTATCGTTCTACGAGTTGGAGCAAACATACTTCAATATTCCCCATGGGAAGAATTTGGCTTACTATGACCTTGTTCCAAAACGCTTGGCTTGGCTCGAAGCACTTGGCTTCGACGATCCCCGATATCTACCTCTAGCGCAGAGTACACGAGAACTCCAAGCATTGAACGATCTCTATGATCAGAAACCAAGCGTTGAGCGAAGAGCCATCGAAGCTAAGGCAAAGTATATCAATGCTAAGCCCAACCTGCCAGCTGTTTCGTGGGAAACTCTTGAGAAAGACTATGAGATCTACCCAGTAAGTGCTTTCACGACATACACAGCATATAGTGACAAACGCCGCGAATGGCTTCAAAAGTTTGGCCTTGATGTTATACCATTCTGCTACAAAACCGCACAGCTCCATGAGGGCAATATGCAGGGAATGGAAATTGCCTGGAGTGAAATGACTGAGGTTGAAAGTGGTAGAGTTCTGGAGGCGGCGAAAACCATCAAAGAAGACAGCAATCCAGTTTTTGAATCATGGGCAGAGTTTGAGTATACATATGGCTTTACCAAAGAAAAGGACAAGGAATTCAAGAATAACCCTGTTGGCTACTCGAAGAAACGTTGATTATGGATCATCGATATTGGATTGGATGTTGAACCTTTCAAGAGCGTCATCTCAAGCCCTACCGCTCTACAAGCAGCATGGTCTACAAAGCCCATTGAAGAGAGAAAGACCATTATCAACAAAGCTAAGTGGGAGAAAGAGCGCTTTGTTCGGGATTTGGCGAGAAAAAAGGCCGAAAAGGCAGGTGGCAATTACAAACCTCCTCCCAATGAAGTCAAGAAAACAAGCAAGCGCTCATCTACAACCAAATCGTCTAACTCCAGAGTTTCTAAGTCCTCTAGTTATAGAAACAATCGATATAGTTATGGTGGCTATGGCGGCTATGGCGGATCATATTCTTCGGGTTATGGATTTGGAAGAAACAGATACTCAAGGTACTAGTTTGTGCTAATGTGCTCACTTGGCCTTTGGTAGCAATCTTTCTACGACCTAACAATGCTCTGATAGTTGCTTATTTCTGGTTCGGCATTCAAGATCTTGTACTAAATTTTTCCTTTAGGCTACATTTTTCATAGGATACTTTCTTGACGAATGTTTTCGGAGGTCTTCCTGGGACTGCTGAATCATTCCTTCATTTCAATTCGTACTTTCATTCGAACCTTGGTGTATTGCGTATAGCGTGTGTCGTATGTCGTATGGCATCTAATATTCTGCTAATCAGTCATTGTACATATTTGGACATGTGGCATGGGAGTATCAAGAGGTACGTATGGCTCGCGCCGATTAGTCACATATGAAGGGTCGTTTTGTCGAACGAAGACGACAGATAATGTATGATACATAATCAGAATAATAATAATATTCAAACCGTCTTCTACTCAGAAACTTGCGATTGTGATCTGCAATAGATACCGAATGGTCTCTATCTCCCCATGTGTATGAAAGAGCAGAGTATTGCGGAATGTTCCCTTGCGGTGTTACATGAATGCTGGTTTTGAGAGAGCCCAAGAAGTTCATTGTAGGAAATAGTTTAACAACTCGGAAGTCTTCATTTGCAAGAGAATGGTATATGTATGGTCTTCGGGGAGTGAGAGGCATTTTGCTCTCGTTATTTCTTCGCTTGTCGTTCAAGATATCAGAATTACGAATTTAGACATGTAGCATGCAATGTTGAACCAGAAACTCAAGTTGGAACCTTGTGTTAGAATGGCGACACCCTCCGGTTTTATTGGTCAGTAAAGCCGCTGAGATCAAGCCGACTTTTTAAATGCCATCACACATGATCCATAAATCGATATCTTCATCGTGCTTGTTTGTACACACTATTCTTACTAGGCATTCTCTTTCTGAAATGATTTTTTCTATTCGAACATCATTTCATTTCACCACTGACCTAGCGTTTTGTTCTCAGCCCACCCAACTCCATCATGTGGATAAATACGTATCTCCTATCAACATCCGGTACAATAATCCGTAAAGTTGAGATACAATTTGGCCCAAGAAGATACTTCGTGAATAAATAGATATTCATATAATTCTTCTACAATTCGATCTGACTTCAAGTTACAAGTATCGGCGAATGGTGATCCAATCGTTGGACCAATGGCCATGTAAAAATCCGTGCTCGATTTCGTTGGCTGCCACAGATGGCTGACCTGCAGCTCCTTCGAGAAACCTCGGTGCAGAAAATCGTTAAGAAGCTTGAGGACTACAAAAGCTGGCTTGATTCGCATGTAACACTTTGTGGTGTGGCTTAAGCGAGCACTGTCGGGATACAGACCTTCCTATCCGATTCAAATCCGACACAATCAGAATACAAGGGAGGGATATTGCGATATCCAATCAAACAGTCTCGAAGCGCAGGCTGCGGCTGGATGTATGATGCGTTGGTTACGCATAATGGTGATTGAAATTCAGTTCATTTTTTTCTCCTGATGCTTTTCAATGCACGACATTTTAAAGGATGGGTACTTTCGAAAGCAGTAAGCTCAGCGCTCTCAGATCAGAAGAACAACTGAGTCTGCTCAATGAAATCGACACGCTTCGCCGTTCTGGTATTAGTGATCATGTCTCCTTACCACAGATTGCCGTTTGTGGAGATCAATCTAGCGGGAAAAGCTCCTGCCTAGAGGCCATTTCGGGGATACCATTTCCCCGCAAAGATACCTTGTGTACCCGCTTTGCTACCGAGCTTGTTCTTCGCAAGAGTTCCGTAGAGTCAGTCGTGGTGAATATCGTTCCTAGCCAAAAGAGGTCACAGAAAGAGAGTCAAGAACTTGCCGCATTTCAGTACACCCTTCATTCTTTTGACAAATTGCCGGAATTGATAGAATCTGCCAAAATTGCTCTAGGTCTTGACAAGCCTGGCAGCGGGTTTTCTTCAGACATACTTCGCATTGAAATCTCTAGCCCGACAAGGCCTCATCTAACAGTTGTTGATTTACCTGGCTTGATTCACGCCAAGAATGATGACGAAGATGACGAAAATGTGGAGGAAGTGGTATCAGAACTCGTTTACTCATACATGCGCCGTCCAAGAACAATCATATTGGCAGTTGTCTCTGCGCTGAACGATCGAGCTCTCCAAGCAGTACTAAAGCAAGTCAAAGCAGTGGATCCTCACGGCAGGCGTACCATGGGCTTAATCACGAAGCCTGACACTCTATTCGAGGACTCCGAGAGCGAGAAAGACTTCGTGAAGCTAGCTTCAAATGAAGTAACGCAACTCAGACTCGGTTGGCACGTACTGAGGAACCGCGATTTCAACACGAAACATGTCACCTCTGCAGAGAGAGACAGGATAGAGGAAGAATTTTTCTCACAAGGAATTTGGAAAACATTGCCTCGAGGAATTTTAGGAGTTGCACAACTACGAGAGCGTCTGAGTAGAGTTCTCTTAGACCACATTAAGTCGGAGCTGCCAGCTCTTATTCGCGAAATCCAAGACATCCTGCACGAGTCACAGCAAGCATTTACAAAACTCGGGGATCGCCGCGGAAACGCTGAACAACAACTTCTATATCTTCTGAAGCATAGTCAGCATTTCACGAGCATATGTCGATCATCATGTGATGGCATATACGAGGACAAGTTTTTCGGAGATATTGCCATTGAAGAGTTCAGGGTCAGCAGATTCCGGGCTGTCGTTCAAAATCTGAACCTCGCATTTGCCGAAGATGTGCGGCTAAACGGCCAACGTTACAATCTCCGGGGCAATGGACTCGAAGGGAAAAGCAATGAAGCTATCTCATGGGTACAAGATATGCTAGTCTTTTCGAGGGGGAGAGAGTTGCCAGGCACTTTCAGCCCGATGCTGATTGGAGACCTATTCAGAGTACAATCGAAACCGTGGGAAAATATCTCCAAAGCCCACCTTCAGGATATCTGGAAACAAGCTCGCGGTCATGTAGAGGATATATTGTCTTCTCTCATGGACTCAGAGGCATACATGGCGTTGCTCACGCTTTACGTCGATTCATTAATGGAAAAGCTACTCAAGAAAGCCACTGATGAACTGGACAGATTGTTCCGTGATCGGCATAGACATGCCATAACCTACAATCATTACTTCACGGAGACCGTCCAGAAAATCGCTGATGCTCGTAATCAAAAGAGGCTCTTGGGAGTCTTGGAGAAGGTGTTTCCTCTGGATGAATACAGTCAAACTCGTACCGGACCGAAGGATCTCTCGAACATATGCTCTATGATGTCAGAATCTATACCAGATATGGATACGCGTGCTAGCATCGAGCTTCTTGATCATCTGGAAGCGTTTTACAAGGTTAGATACTGAAAAATTAATCGTGACGCTTGGCTAAATAATTATTCAGGTTGCAATGAAAACATTTGTAGACAATGTATCTGTCCAGGTTATAGAGGCATCAATCGTGGATAATCTGGCGGACGTCTTCAATCCACTTGCAGTAGCACAGATGACCAGCGAACTTGTTTCACAAATCGCTGCTGAGTCACAGGAAAACCAGACCCAAAGAGAGCGGCTGGAAAACAAGATACATATTCTAGAGGATGGTCTAAAGACCTGCAAATTGCATGCGGGTCGCTATGCTTCAGGTACGTAATATTGGATATGTGCCAGAGTTTTCTGATCCGAAACTACCTTAGAAGTTACTCTTGAGGAGCCTCCGACCCCCGTAATACAGACACCAAAGTACCATGAGCCGTCTGTAGCTGACTTACACGTCTCAAATGTTTCAAGTGTGAAGGCCGACGTCGAATTCCACGCAGTTGATGAAGGAGAAGCAAACAATTTAGTAAGCTAATTTAGTATAGATCACTTAGCCTTCAGCTGTAACAACTAAATTTTCTGATAGGTGGTCGAGGCTCCGACTCATACATACGTGGCAAGAGAAGATGAAGTAATAAACAACATCTCCATGTGGGGAAGCTTGGGAGGGAAGAAATCCAAGAAGAAGAAATCTAGGAACGTCGTACCTGTTGCGCCTGAAGATGGAAGAAGCTGGAATTCTGAACTTCTGGAGCCACAACTTTAGAACTAGATCAGTTCAATACCGAATACTACGACACTGTCGTTCATATGCCTTTGATTCTTTCTTCCGTCCTTTTCCACACCTCCAAAGTTCCCTCGATGTTAACCCTAGCTCACGAGTTGGCTCACGTGTGAAAATTAACTAAAGCTAGATCTCATGGTCTAATGTTTTTGAAATTCTCAATTTCATCGGTAGGGCACGACAAATCTGCTACATTGAGTGATCGCAGCATATGAAAAAAGATAGAGGGTAAGTATAGTAGACAACCAAGAAGCTTGCAAACAAGAATAGACTATTATATAATTCGCTCAATGAGACCTAGACTTTCATTATCTGTTGGAGTACTTGCTCGTTTGTGCACCATTGTAACATTCTTTAGGACTACAACAGCGCCATGGACAGAGGTTGGAAAGCTTTCAATAAGTTCTCAAGTTCTAGTCTGCACCTGGATCAACGCGGATTCTGTATGGAAGCCTCGCATGCTCCTTCGCTTGAAATCAAGATCAGTCACTATCGCCCTAGCTGAGCAATAACGTGTCGAAGTTTATGAGATTCCAGGGGCTTTCATCGAGTTCCAAAATTTTCGATTTTCAGGTCATATTTTGAAAGATATGGTCTTGATTGAGTGACAGAGAATCACGACTTCGGACTCAACTATGAGCAAGGGAGATTGTCACCGGAAATTCCATTCTGGAGTAACGAGACTAATCATGCCCGCGGATACGTAGTGATGCCTCCAGTGGCTCACATGCTAGTTGTTGCAGGTTGATGTCATGACACCGTCATTGCCGAAGTTTCCGAGAGCTTTAATCTTTCCTCTTGATTTTTTTTCGATGATACCATTGATACGATAAGATCATAGAGAACCAAGATACCTCCCTCACAAAAGGTCACTTCTTATACGATCACTACCTAAGGTTGTTGTTCCCCTTCCTCTTAAGAAAAAACATTGAAACGAACCAATCATCACGTGTCGGCGAATCAATTTAGGAAGTCCGACCGGGGTGACTTCGGTGTTTTTTCTGAGAGCTCCCTTGGCTCTCCACCTCCGCAGGATGAATGAGAAATCATCATGACGGGGTGAGGGGCAACAAGTTATAAAGAGGGGTTGAATTCTTATATTTCAAATTCTTCATATCGTAATATCGAGAGTTCTCTTCTTTGCCAAACTTTTCGATTCTTAACACCTCATCTCAATCAAAATGGCAGATAAGAAATACAATGTTGGAGTAATTGGCTACGGGTTTGTATAATTCCTCGAAAGCTGTTGAATGTATACTAACAGAAACTTGTAGCTTGTCAGCCAAAGTCTTCCATATTCCGCTCATTCTTGTAACTCCATCCTTCACTCTTCACTCAATTGTTCAACGAACACCTAAACCAAACGACAATGCTGCCCAAGATCATCCAGAAGCCAAAATCTACAACTCCGCAGATGCTATGTTTGCAGATTCGGAAATCGATATCATTGTCATATCAACAACCCCTGAGACACATTTCCCTTTCACAAAAGCCGCTTTGCAAGCTGGTAAACATGTTATGGTAGAGAAACCATTCGTTCCCACATCCGCGGAAGCTTCAGAGCTTATTTCTATATCCAAAGAAACTGGAAAGTTCATTTGCGTGTACCAGAATAGAAGATGGGACTCTGATTTCTTGACCGTCAAAAAATTGATGGCAGATGGTGTATTGGGAAGAGTGGTCGAATTTGAGACACACTTCGATAGATTCAAGGGCGAGAAACCCGCGACCTGGAAGGGCACATTGACCATGGAGGATGCTGGCGGTGTTATATATGATCTAGGAACACATTTGGTTGATCAAGCATTTTGCTTGTTTGGCCAACCGAAGACAGTAACAGCAATCTTTACGAACCAAAGAGCTGATGGCTCGGCAGAACCAGACAGTATTACCGTAATGCTGAATTATGGCGAGAAGGGGCCACTAGTAACCGCAAAAGCTGGGGTGAGCATCAAAAACTGCTTTTATTCACAACTTACTCCTCATATAATTGAACATTGCTAATGAACAAATCATAGGTTCTGTGCGTGGAAGAAGAGCAATTACGATACTGGGTTCGAGGATCACAAGGTAGCTTCAAGAAGTATCACCTTGACATTCAAGAAGACCAATTGAAGGCCGGTCTTAAGCCGGGTGATGCCGATTTTGGTATTGAATTAGAAGATAGGTCTGGAAGATTAGTAGTATTCGAGGATGGAAAACCTAAGGGCAGCACTTACAAGAACGTGACTCCGCAAACCTATGCTGCTCTCTACCAAGGCTTTGCCGATGCTATAACTCGTGGCAGCGAAGATGCTATTCCAGTGAAGGCAATCGAAGCTAGAGATGTTTTGAAGATTATTGAGGCAGCCAGGGAAAGTGCTAAGAGTGGAAAAACAGTCACACTATAGGTGGTCCTTTTACAACGTTTCCATGGATAGATCAGCGATGAATGTTCCACAAATTCCTGTATTTCTTCTCGATCAGTAGATTATACCCATAGTAATAGATCATGTTGATTTGAAAGTGGGAAGATGTACGGATGTGCTGTTTCCAATTGCCTGCGGAGTAGGTAATAGGTATATCCGTTCGCGTTCCGGAGATAAATCGAGTCCAAGAATAAATCCGAAGCTAACTGCACGTCATCTCACACCCTTTTCTATATATGTTCAACGAACATTTCTCGCCAACGAATTTAGAAGACTATGTTTGAATTCCTTCCAAGAATAAGACCAAGCATTCAAAGATCGCTCAAAATGTTACCTCTAATCACTCTCGAGGAACACTTTCTTTCCTCCGCAGTGCTTGCCGCCCAACAAGCAAGCGGGACCCCTGACCCATTTGCAGGGTTCCCAGTTCAAATCTCCAGGAAACTGAAATCTCTTGATAATGAACGTATAAAGGATATGAATGATGGAAACATCTCTGTACAAATACTTTCGCATGGTCCTATGGATCATGCTCCTCTCAAATTGTGTCGAGAAATCAACGATGAACTCGCAGCTGCCATCTCCAAGAATCCTTCCCGTCTAAAAGGCTTCGCAACCCTGCCTATGGGATCGCCTTTAGAAGCCGCTCAAGAGTTGGATCGTTGTATTAAGAATCTCGGTTTTGTGGGTGCATTGATTGATAATCATCTTGACGGCGAATTCTACGATGATGAGAAATTCTGGAGTGTTTTTGAAAAAGCTAGTGCTTTGGATGTACCTATCTATATTCATCCCAATTTCACGGCTGAAAAGGATATGGGTAAATATCGTGGGAATTATCCAGAGGGTATAGCGATGGCGCTTAGCAATTGGGGGTTAGGATGGCACTTTGATACTGGACTTCATTTTTTGCGTCTCTATGCCGCGGGAGTGTTCGATCGGTTCCCGAAGTTGAAAATTGTGTTGGGACATATGGGGGAGCTTTTGCCGTTTAATTTGGAGAGGATATTCAAGGTGTCGGGGAGATGGGGAAGGGAGAGAGGATTAGAAAAGGTTTGGGAGGAAAACTTGTGGATCACTACTAGTGGGATGTTTTCGTTGGCGCCGTTGGCGTGCTTGGTGCAGACGAAGGGGAAGGATAAGATTTTGTTTAGTGTCGATTATCCGTTTTCTGAAAATGGGACGGGGAGGGAGTTTGTGGAGAGGGTGGTTAAGAGTGGACTTTTTGGGAAGGAGGATTCGGTGGAGATGAGGGGGTTTGCGTTTGAGAATGCGGAGAGGTTGTTGAGGGTCAAGGCTAGGGAGTGAAGTGGGTTTTACAGATGGGAGGTCTGGCTAGTGGTGGGATATGCTGTGCTGTACTATTTTACTTTACATCTCAACTCCATTGCTGGTTGGATATTTGGAAATTTGATTGATACCCCTCTTTCTTGATCGTTGTATTCTTATGTTTGAAAAGATACTCAATCTGTACACCAACAGCAGCTGAATTCCTGACAACTACAAATGTACTCAGAAATCCTACGTAGTTTCATAAACAAAAATACTATGAAGCAATGTTAGTGTGTATATTACAACTACATCATGCGTGTATGCTCCTTGGAAAGAAAGTGCAGTCTTGTTGCACCTTCTCAGTCCAAGTTTCGCTCATGAGTTCTTTCCCTGTCAAGCCTTTCCCAGACTGAGCCTCGCGCAATACTCAAGCAGAAGAAAATAAGTTCTCATTGCACATTTCGTCCATCCGAGTTTTGAACATCATCTGAAGTCTGACGTGAATCATTCGATAATCTCAGAATCATTCACAGCATGTATTTTTCGCTTTTTTGATGAATTTCTTTCGACTCTGAGTTGTTTCTGCTTTGGGGGGAAGGTCAATCTAGTAGTCTCAAGGATCTACTTCAAATAAACCACAGTGAACACGATCAGAGTCAATGATTTCCATTTCTTAGTATTTCATCTTCGATGTCTATATCTACCGCAAATCAGTGTATCCTCACTTTTTTTTCTAAATATTTGCCGAATTTCGATTGGACCGAATTGCATAGAATTCACTTGGTACAAGCTCAGTCTACTCTTCTCCTCTTCAGTACATCGAACCACACGGCTTTGGCTACTTCACATATGAATCCACAACTTACGAACCCACAATCTAGAGCATCTTCTCCTTTCTATTCTTCAACAAGCTACTAGCTAGTGTACAACTACTTTCAAAACAAGCGCGCATTTTGAAGCTCCCTCTCGAAAAATTCCCATACACGCAAGCCTGAGTCTACGATCTCAGTTATTGTCTATTTTCTCACCTTGCTGCCGCTCTCGTCAACCGTTACTCCAATATATCTCACTTTCACTCACTTTCCAAAAACGGATGCCCCTCAACTTTTCCTACCATCTCTATTCACTATCCTTAGCGTGAAAACGGAAGACTTCTCAATCTATTACTTTCCCACTTCCACCCTCTTTCAACCTTCTTAACTACAACCTCCACCTACCATACCTTCGTCGATCTATCTCGACTTTTCTGGATTCTTTCTATCCATTTCCTCTTTTGCTTTTCCATCTAGCTTTTTTTATCATTTACATGCTTCTACTTATTGATAACTTTACTCAAATTCTACAATCATGCCTCCAAAGGCCCCTCGTATGCAATACCAGCGAGGTGAGCAGGTCTTGCAGGTTGACGACCCCGGCAATCATGCTTTCAAAGCTCAACCTGTCAAGAACAGTAGGAAGAGACCAAATACAGCTCAGCCTTCCACTAAGAATGGTCCAATTGAGATTGACTCTGACAATGAGCATCCTCAACCATCCAAAAAACCTCGTCCAGGTATGCCCCAAATCCTTGCAATGCATTCGGAATTCAATCGCTAATCTCAGAATAGACACCCGTTCCTCCAAATCAAGAATCGCTGATGCCAAGAAAGGAAAAAACGTGGTTGAAAACATATCAGAGTCAGAAGACAATTCCCACCCAGAAGTCGTTCCTTGTGCAAATTTACCACTAAGAAAGCTTCTCAAACCATTTGCAGACCATGATGCAGACATCTACATCGCACTCATTCAAACAAAACCCGAGTATTCATTCAGGATGCACTCATATATACTGAGACGTGCCTCTCCGTGGTTCGCTGGACAGTTGCAGGAAACCGTGGTCAATGAGGTGGATGAGAAGTTAGCAGCTGGGATTACTGAAGATACTGGAATCAAATATAGATTTGAGCTTATGTTTGATGATCACCTTGGTTATCATACATTGAAGCGGGTGGTAAGTACTTTTTCTCGCTGTTTGAAACTCATGTACCTCTACGCTAGACTTGAGCACATGTAGCTAATATCTGCAGGGACTCACAATGTACAAGGAGCAACCTCAAGCTGTCATCAATAGAGCTATTCCCGATTCCAGCAATCGCTATGACGGCTATTTCTTCTCTGGCAATGTTTCATCAAACTCGCGTCAATCGTCTGTATTTTTGCCACCATACGATGGCTCGTGTGACGACATTGAAATGGCAAATACAATGGATGGTCCTAATTCATCTATTGCTTTTAATATTACCGATTTCCTTCCATCACTAAGCACAATTCCACCTACTCAAGACTCTATCAATGAGGTTGAAAAAGTGGATAATGGCATCAAGTTGGAAGATACCACTACTTCTTTGAATATTACCGAGGTCAATCTGCCAGCCCAGAACGATGTGACGGAGCAAATTGCTACACCACCTGCAAGTCCCATTAAAGTAATAACTGGAACTAATACAGACGTGATACTGTATCAAGGTCCACAGATCAACATACGCCCCCAGGCTGTCCTTGCAGATCAAATCATTCCAACAGTTGATACGCCTATCAAAGCAGAGATTAAATCCGAGAAACAAATGTTCTCGCCAAGTCTTCCAGAAGACATGTCGCCAGAAAGACAACTTGAAGTCCTTTCGAATGTTGAAGAAAAAGTTGATGAGCAATTACGCATTGAATTACAGGAAATTGAAGTGCCACAAGGTCGCCAAATCTCACCCGAAGAACAACTTCAGGTGGCTATCTCCATGGGGAATCCAATAGGACCTGAGATAAAAACCGAGGACACACAGCAAGCTACAATTTCGCTTTCGAAGCAGCAATGCAAGATTGATCCAATTGTTAAGGAACCGTCTGGCAATCATGTTATTGAGCAGACATTCATTCCCACCGCAGAAAAGCCAATCAACAATGTAACATGTCAAAAGCTAGCCCCTTTGAGGGGGGTTGAGCAAACAGTCCTCGATGCTTACCGTTCCCTTTTTCTGTGCTACTTTGGCTGTGCCCCCACAATTTCCACAACAAATGCAGCAACTGCAGCATCACAGTCCATGTTGTTGATAAAAATCGCCAATCGCTATGACTCAGTGAAGGTTGTTAGGCCTCACATAGTTGCAGCTCTCCTTTCTCTAGGACGTAGCCTATACGCATCTATTCGTCGCAATCCTCCTCAGTACCTACTTTTGGCAAACAAGCTTCAATGCGCTCCCATCTTTAAGGAAGCTCTCATTCATATCGTAGGACAATACCCCTCCTGGCCATGGCTCACTAAAGAGGATCGGATGAGTCAAGTTCTTGGCAAGGTCATTCAAATGAAGTTCGACGATCTCCAAGACATGAGATTCAAGATCAATGATGCACTTTTCCAGAGTTGTCTCGTGAAAGAAAAAGTGAGAGTTAGCATCAACAATTTTGATAAGTCAACCTTTGACATGTGGATCATTGTGCAGATCTGGCATGATTGGTTCTCTCAACAGTTACGCCAATGTAAGATGGTTCGACGCTATGAAAATCGGAGCGTGGAGAAGAACATGTATAGGCTTATTGCGCAAGGTGGTGAAGCGTACCTAGGTATCGACAATGTTATGGCAATGATTGAACCATTCAGAGCCGGTTTGGAGACCAGAGAGTGGGGACACTGGAAGAAAGACCAGGTTGAGTTGCAGTTGAATATGCTGAAGAAATATGCTTCAGATAACGTCAAGGGTTTGTTGGTCAATCAGTTGATGGGTGATACTGGCGGAAATGCTGGTGAAATCGAATATCTCACTTGCACCAACGTTCATGAGGATGAGTTGCCATGGGCTCAAGCACAAGTGGTTATCATTGAGGATTAGGGGTGAAATTTGGGACGAAGCAAATTAAAGGAATGAGTGCGGGGACCGAAAGCGATGACGGGGTTGCTTGCCACCGCGGAGGAATTCTGATGGTTGGAAGTTACTCGTGCGAACTGGTATCTTCATCCTATGAATATTCCAACGCGAACAAGAGTCGCCACATCTTTTTCATATTATTCATCTATCTTGCGAAGTATCGTTATTATTTTTCCTTTTTTTATTTACTTTCATTTGATGGGGATGGATGGAGATGAATGGAAAATGGGATATGACTTACTTATTATTTGCGAACACAATATCAGATATGAACTGCTTTTATCATAGCGGACAAAACGGACATGCACGAAAGGATCCCAGGGTGGAAATCAATAGCTGAGCAAGATACTTTTTAACAAAACAGACAAATGAATGACAATTTATTTTCAATATTATCATGATTTTGTTCCCTGAACTTGATCCTACTACGAATCATCCTAGATGTTACCTTCTGGACAGAGATAATACCATGTAGCACTGAATCTTCCAATGAACGCCCCTCTTCCATATGCACCAACCCTTTCCGTTGTAACCAGCTCGGAAAACGCCAATCCCGCTAGAATTTTATTTACACCCAACCTATTATAGTAATTTCGCATTCAAAGATGATCATTTCAAACTCCCGCCAAACAAATCTTGCTCTTCCTTTAGCCTCTGCTCCCGCTCCATTTTTCTCTTCTTGATAATCTTTTCTTCATCTTCTCCATCTTTGCCTTCTACTCCTTCCCTTTTCATTTTTTGTAGTCCAACTAGATCTGCTTTTTCGGGGTTTCTGCATTTCTTTAATTTCTTGACTAGGGCTTGGATTTCTTGTCTTTGTTCGGGAGTTTGTTCCTCGGGGATCGAGGAGAGTATTTGAGCGAGATTTTTTATCAAGGTGAAAAGCTTTTGGTAGGTAGATGTTGCGGTGTTTGTATCTGGATTCGAAGGATTATAAGATTTCAAAGCAAGGTAGAAGGTGGCTAAAGGGGCGGAAGCGAGATAGAGGGATGCGAACATTATTTGCGAGGGGGTATAGTGGAAATAGGAATCGCATAATAGCGCGCTTGTTTTGAGATAATGGCGTGCATGTCCGTGGCCTTCTAGTATTAAATTGTGCATATTTTCGGGTCGTTGGGATTCGAGTTCTGCGGGGATGGATACTTTGTGGGTGGAGATGGCGAGGAGTTCCATGATGGCTCCTTCGAGACCACGGTAGGGGTGGCGGATGTCGAATTGGAAACGGAGGCCTTGGGTTAGGAGGAATTCTGAGGAGAGAATCTCTTCGGTGGTGGTTTTGCCTATGTCGCTTGCGAATCTGGTGATGCGGAAATAGTGGTTTTCAGTTTTGGTGGCGAAGAAGAGGGCGGTTTTGAGGATGGTCGTGGGGGTGTAGGTCATTAGGCTATGGCTTATGTAGAAGCGCCGGATATATTGGATTGCTGTGGCCTAGAGTGCAAATAGATGTTAGAGATGTTTGGAGCAAAGACAACTTGCGCATATGGCAGTGCAGCAGACGTTACCACCATTCCGTATAGAAAAATAGCCGATCAACTAAAACTAAAAAACCTCCGTAAGAGAAGAACATACCTTGACCTCAATCGGCACACCTAAATGATCCCCCAGCTGCAGCGTTTGTCTACAATAATAGTCCAACAACTTCAATTCCTCATCTACCGTCAAACAATCCACTTCTCCATCCGTTAGGGCAGTACTAGCAGATCTGCTATTCTCTGCTTCACTATTATCATTTGAGGATGCCGCACGAGCTTCTCTGGCGCGTCGAACAGCATCTCGAACTTGGGTTATGGCTAGGGCATTTGTGCTTTCGCGCAAGGAACGAAGTGCGGACGGTGTGTATGACCAGTGACGATATTGAGTGGAAGTACGATAGCGAGCGTCTTCGGTAGACATGGTGAATTTTTGTGAAAATTAGTGGGAGTGGTTATGGCGCATGGTTGAACTGGGAGGTTATTGATATGAAGGAACTCGGAGTTCATTCATGTCTATAATTTGTGAGGTGGGAGCTTGGTGCAGGGATAGTGGAAATACTTTAATCCGTTGATTGGCTGGCTGGACGTTGTGCATCTTTTGAAATGCTTGCAGGGACTTGATAATTACAGCTCATTTAGTAAAATAGCATAAATGTAGAAGAGTTCATCAAGACTTCTATTACTGTCCATTAAAAGATAAATATACAAATGTGACATGTCAATTCCGTTACCTATCATATACCATATTCCTATCACACGGCAATCCGAGCCGAGGCACATTCAAGGTATATGACAAGATGCAAGCTTCAAAGACATCCATTTTGATAATGATATTTCGTGAATCTGTCATGATACAAAACAACTGAAGACTTTGCCAATATGTATCGCTCCATCATTCGGGTCCAGCGAGTCGGTCGTTTGGCTTCTCGTCGCTATTACAGTAGAGGACCTAAGATAAGTCACGATCCCACTTTATCGACAAAAGATGAAGACAGCAACACGCGGACAAAGGGTTTAAATATTCAACGTACTACACCGAGCTCACCTGGAGTTCAAGACAATGCGTATCCTTCATATAAACGTTCCAGTGGCCAGTTTGTTTTCAATGCCTCCCATGGCCCACCTGTACCTTTGCGAAGGAAAACTCGTCCTCCAACTTTCATACGGCCTCTTCTCAGTGCTGAACTTTCCGCGCAGGAAAAGGCAAATCAAGAGTTGATAAACTCGGCTGCTGATCTTGGAGAGGAGATTGTTCATCCAAACTTAGGAAAAGGTTATCGAGAGAATCTTCGCTTGCTCGATAATGGAGCATTCATGCCAATCAATTTTGCTGAAGGTCCGGATTCGGTGTAGGTTCAATCAGTCAAGTTTGTTCCTGATTTTGAACGCTAACATATTTAATAGTCCACGTCGATGGCTAAGGTAAGAGAAGACGAAATTTGTTCAAGCATTCATTGTATTGCCTTCTTGAGAGCTAATCTGATGATGTTCTAGAGACAATTGTCGTTGTGCAAAGTGTAGACGTCCTGATACTATGCAGCGAGAAGTAAACATTTTCTCGGTAAAATATCCTAATGACCATTACGGGCTATTGTCTGACAACTCATTAGTCGGACCTCAAAGTCCTTCCGGATTCTATCAACAAAGCCAAAAAGGATGGCCTTGAAGTAACCTGTATGCACTCTTTCTTGCATATCTTTTCATTGCTAATATTCCACAGGGCTGGATAGCGCAGATAACGATGTTAAATCAGATCATGTTACTGTTTACCCATGGGACTGGCTCCACAAACATCAAGTTTACCGCGACGCAAAGAAGTTCCAGTCTCCCAAAGCTTCAATTGTCAGTGTGACTCGGGAAGGAAACTTTTCAGCGGAAGCAGAAGTTCCAATACCTGACCCAGAGTAAGTACACCCCAATTATCATTCTCGAAATTTTTCTGAAATCCTTTGGTAGTAGCCACGAAGTTGTTCTTTGGGATTCGCTTATTGGGAAAAGTCCACCTACTGTCAACTATGAAGAAGTCATGGCAAGTGAAAATGGTGTAGGAAAGTGGACACGCATGATTGTAAATCCTCAAATTACTCTGAGCTTATACGGAATAAGTTGCTGATTTTACCCAGCACAAATATGGGTTCTGTTTCGTAGATGGGGTTCCAGTATCTCCTGAAAAGACTCAAGAGCTTCTGGAACGCATTGCTTTCATTCGGCCAACACATTATGGTAACGCCTGTTCATTTCCATTATAGTACAAATGATTTTCACAAATTAACTAACGCCTTTAGGTGGCTTCTATGACTTCACATCCGATCTAACGATGAAAGACACAGCTTACACCAGCGAAGCTATCGGTCCTCACACCGATACAACATACTTCACCGATCCCGCCGGCCTCCAGATGTTTCATCTCCTTTCTCATACTGAAGGAACGGGCGGTGAATCTCTCCTCGTAGACGGCTTCTGGGCCGCTCGCTTACTACGCACTCGCCACAAAGATGCTTTATCTAAGATAGCAGTCCCTTGGCATGCTAGTGGTAACGATGGCATTAACATCACTCCAAATAGGCCATACCCCGTTCTCACCATGAACACAAATCGTGCTGCAACTCAGATTAGATGGAATGAGGCAGATAGAGGAACTATTCATCCTGGATACTCCCAGGAGTGGTACGAAGCAGCGAAAGCATACAGTGATCGGGTTAATGACTCGAAGCTACAGTATTGGTCGCAGCTCGTACCTGGGCGCGCTTTGAGTGAGTACATCAGGCATTCATTGATGAAGTTTCCAGATGACTGACACTCAAGCCGCAGTTTTCGATAATTGGAGAGTTCTTCACGGAAGATCGGAATTCACGGGTAAAAGACGTATATGTGGTGGATACAGTGAGTTGAATTTCTTTCAAATATATTTCTTCTTGTGTAGGCAGAGATGCTAACAAAACACAGTTAATCGTGATGATTATGTTTCGAGATATTTGAACACAAATTTCACTCGTGAACAGATCTTGGAGAAGATACTATGATTTCGGGTATCATGGCTTCTCCATCTATTCTTGTTTTGAGAAAGGATAAGAGTGTAGCGACCGACTAGATAAATGATGCCTTATCTCCTCAATGTACGTGGCAAACTACTACCAGATAGATTATCAATGCCGAGATTGATTCTGAGTAGAGTATGGAGATGCGCAAGATTTTGTAAGAATCAATAAGTATTCAATGAATCAATTCACTTACCGTCTACGATGATTTTTCACCTGAAGCATTTACTCATGAGGGGGTACACTCGAATTTAGGATAATGAATTTCAGCGTAAGTCTTTTTTTCACAGGTTCTAAGATCAAAGCCTCCGATGATATTGTATTCATCAACATCGACAAAATTCTGTCATCAGTTTCTCGCTTCAATTCTCGAAGCTTCGGAATACCATCAATCTGCAGTCACAGGTTGAAGTGTCAATCATTTCTCATTATTGCATTATACTCTGAAAATTTTGGGGAAAAACGCTGTCTCATCATGCTATTTCTATCATGAACCTATCCTGAGATAATTCCAGTATTTCCTTCCCTCGCTAGTATTGCTTGGCCTGATCTTCCAACCCTTTCTTGAAGCCGGAGCATCTTTTCCGCTTTTACAAAGCCACCCTATTCCTCTCTTTCCTTCTTTATTTCTGGAAGAATACTTTGCGAATGTTCAGATGATTTTCTATCTAAATCGAAGAACTTCTCATCTATTCCAAGGTGTTTGAGCTGTAGTGATGGTTGTAAGTGATTTATATGAGAGATGACGGGTTCGTGAACATATGTAATGACTTGAAAAATCGGTGCCGCAATGTTCTGAATGGCTCAACATAAAACAGAAGGCTTGTTCCAACATTCAAGAGAAGCCAAAGAGTGAGATCAAACAGTCACAGAAGGCTCTCTTGCTATGAAGGAGAGTCAACAATGCTTACCTTCGCATCAATCCTCTTTTCTCTCTCCACCAAACACCTCTGCTTATCATTATACTCTCGAAAAAAAGACTGCTCCCTATTCTTAGCTGCCATAAACTTTCCATTCAGCATCATACTCTTCTTATTAAAACGTTCTGTCGCCGCTCTGGCGTTTCGTAAACTCTCGTTAAACGCCTTGACCGTTGTGCTGAATCTAGATTGCTCGGCTCTGAGTATACCTAGCTTTCTTTCGTTCTCCAGCTCCATATTCTTGAAAGTTCGGAGCTAGCGGAGGAGTTAGTTACGATCTGTTGTATATGCATCTTGTGTACCATTCATTACCTCGTCTTCAAGCTCTATTTTCGCCTCTTCGAACTCGTGGACTTGTTTTTGATGATCCTCTTGCAGTTTCTTAAATTCAGCTTTCTGGAATTCAAGATCTTCGTATCCCTTAACGATCGAGTGGCCTCGTTCATTCTGTCTGTCGTCGTCGCAGGTTTGACTACCTAGCGGAGCTTGTTCATCTAGAAACATTCGGTCGTCCAGCGGTACTCGATCCATATCGCCAAACCCCATGTTTCGATCGTTGATTCGTGTCGTTTTGTGACAATAAAATCTCACAACCCAATATTCCCCCCAGCTGCCTTAACTTTCAACATGAGGACGAAGCTCCGGCTCAACACCAAGATTGCAATACTAATCCTCGCGAATCTTTTCAGCTCGAGGGATGTAAGTGGTTCGTCTATTGGTAACCCGTCGATAAAGATAAGAGAGTAAATGGTCCACATAAAAAAGTCTCTGTATTGTTGAATTGCGGAATGAAAATAGGGGTGCGAAAACTATGTTAAAGATTAGATTTTTTATCATGGAGGGATCGGGCATTTACTTAGAATATACTGTGTTATGAGATTGATATCGTGTTTTTGGTTTTTACTTTGTTCAAGAGACCTGCTATGGTTGTGATAGAGTGGATGTTTTTCGATGCTGGGATACGGAAGGAGCAAGTACGGTTGGTTGTGCCTGTTCATATCTCGTCCTATTTACCTCAATGTAGAGATTTTGGGAAATGGCAATTTAGACTGCTTCCCACCTCCTAGAAGCACGAGATGTGATTGAGGGCCCTTTCCAAGTACTTACTTTGCATGTCAAGCTGGCGCTTTCCAGAGCTCTCTGTATTTCTTGTTGACTTTTAGACATTATCTTCTACCATACGAAAAGCTGCTTTTTATCATCAAATAAAAATAGTCATGGTACCTATACCTATACTCCAATCTTCTAAGATCTACCAGCTCTGGATCTCTGGTTAATTGATCAGTGCAAGAAAGGGCTGTATTCAGAGTTTATTTGCTGGGAATCATAAGAAATCTTGTTGAGTGGCATCATTTTTGAGAAGAAGATGAGACAATTTACATTCATTTTGCTACCAACAAATACATCACAATATCGTAAACACAAAAAGCTCTTCACTATCATTCCTTGAAAATGCACATCTTTCTCGAACATTGAAAACCACACAGTTCCATCATACGTAAACCCAAACCGTCTGTCAAGAAATCAGCAATGCATCCAGCATGATAAAGGAGCCCACACTTACTCTGTCTAAATTCGATGTCGAAAATTCAACGTATTGATTAGATCACTTAGCTCCTCATTTGAGGGTTCCCAGCTAGCACGAACGAGGACGTGTGATCAAAGCTAGCCGCCCTATAGACAAATTAGAAGTTAGACGAGTGGATATACTTATCGAATTGAACCATTTTTCCTTCCCTGACCAGCTCTCATGAAGCCCCATCGAGTGAGCTTCCAATGAGGCTGTCCTGATCCCAGCCCAGCCAAGGAGATATCGCCAAATCACTCCCTAAAAGAAGTGAAAAGCAGGACAGCACAAGACCGAGGGTTATAGCATGAACAGGTCACTGAAGCGAAAGTGTTCGACAAGCGTTCCCACAAGAGTCGAGTGTGTCAAAATAATCCCGTCGAGTAACTGGACGGGCACAGTGTAAATCCATCGAATGCATTGGAGATCCTAAAAGATTCTCCATTATGTGCAGATTCGAAGTGGATAAGAGGGCGAATTCAAAATGTTGTAGAACAACAAATTGGTGAAGGTGGTGTGGACGGATGTTGATCATGAAAGAATCTCTGCTTGTCGTCTCGAGAGCAGCAGAGGGCGCATTCTTCCTTGACCAACGAAGTGGTGTGTGTGAGAAGTAAAGATATGGTGTGATGTGAATCATTTGATATGATAATATAATAATCTAACCTGTGACCTGAGACCTTTCCTGAAATATGGTGGTGAAGCCGTAGTCGATCGTCGTCGATCGTCGTAGTCGTTGAGGTCAGGGGACCGCTCGATGATTCGTGGGTTCGCGTTGGGGATACTTCAAAGTGATTAGCAGCTGACTTAGATGTGGAAAGAGAATAGAGATAAAACTTACCAGTCATTCCGAAGGTTATGATCTATAGTCGAACGACCACAGCTCGTACGTATGTCTCTAATCTGTAAACCATTAACGAGCAAAAGTAAGGTAAGATGGGATTTTTCAATCCCATTAAAAGAAAAACTCCCCCATCCCCCATATTCCCCAAAATAATGACAAAGGAAATAAATATATACAAGATGCGATGTTCGCTTTTTTGGTGATTATTTTGTGATACCTTGAAGGATAGATAATTGGGTTACCAATCCAAAGATCCATTCCAACAATGCCTTTATTTTAATATTTTTTTGACGATGGCTTATTAGGCACATCTATTTTAGTTGAAACAAAAGAAAAGAATACTAACCTCGAGTCCGGGGATTCCAGGAAAGGCCAAGGTCAGGTCACAGGTTAGTAGTTAATAGCAGATACAATGCATCAATTCCCACCATGAAGGATGCAGTTGTATCGACTATATTGGTCCCTGCCGACATGTTTAGAAAGAGCATCTGGATCATCTGACTCGAGCACATCATCAGAGAAATCGACTTCAGGATCGCAAAATCCTTCAATCACACTCTCTCTGCACTGTCTACACAGTGTGTGCTCTTTGCAGCGATCCCATCTGCTCTGTTCTTCAGGGGGATAGTAAAAACTATCCTGTTTAGTAAACCATCCAGTAGGCTTGCCTTGCTGATCCATCTCCTCAATAATGGGAAATTTCTCATGGGGCATCGACCTAGCCCCTGCAAATCTCTCACGAAAGCAATCCATGTCCTTCTCAACCACGTAAGTGGCGATCTGACCACGAATGCAATCGTTGCTTGGTCCTACAAAGCGAACTCTTTTCGCAAAGCGATTAGAGGAGCTCTTGAAGCAGGACTTCAGCTGAGAGACCATTGGGGCATCTGTCATCTCGACTTCCATCGAAACAACATCAGAGATTTCGGCATATGCCGACGCAACTTCAATTGGAACAATGTCAGCCGGGGGAGGGATGACAGATTGGATGGCTTCGAGAAGTTGCGCGCCAGCAACAGAAGCCAAACTGATAGTGACCTTGGGTGTTTGGCGAGAAGGTCTTCTATAAGTTGGCTTTTTCTCCGAGACAGAAGGAGAAGACGATCTAACAAAAGTCTTTCTCTTCTTCTCTGGAGAAGAAGGTGCGACCACGGAGGAGCCGATAAGCTCTTCAAGTCTATTTCTCTTCTTTACAGAAGGAGAAGCAACGAGTGGGGCTGCTTGGGGCTTTGGAAGCACCTTGATTTTAGGTAGAAGAGGGGCAACCTGGATGACAACAGGTGCGGCCTCGATAACAACTGGGTTGTTGATGATGTAATAGCAGACAGCAACCACGAGGGCTGTGCCTACGAAGGTGAGAATATCTGTGAAAGACATTGCAACGATTGATGTTAGAACAAAAATCGGCACGCCGATGTAGATATATAGAAAGTGAGGTAAGAGGTAAGAGGTAAGGTGTTGGTAAATAGATGGGTATCGATGAGGTGGTAGCTCAAAGATAAAAGCAGTAAGAAGTCAGAGTATGCAGTAAAGTAATTGGATTGAAAAATCAAAGTTATCAAAAGCGCATACGATGGAGAGAGAAGAAAAAAGAGAAGAAGGGAAAGAAGAGAGGGTAGCGACGTGAGTATAAAGGATACAAAGACAGACAACGCTATAATCGAGTGATCTGCTAGTTGATTGGTGTCAATGTTGTTTACGTCAGTAAACGTTTTTTGAATTTGGCACCTACGAGAGAGGTTTTTGGTCTCATGGCAACCACGAGATTTTTACCTAGCAACCAAACCATATCTGGTAAATTCGGATGATAGTCTTTCTATTCTTCTATGTGAAATTATGAACTAGATATTGATCATCTTACTGATATCTCCAAGGGTGCTGATGGTCATCACCACGTTTCGTTCCTGTCAATCTATCATGTCTATATAGGTGATTAAGGCGCCTCAAAAACAATATCATATTAACATCTGACTGAGACCAAGGAATATTAGATTCCTTCTTCCCTTCGTTAATCTAGTAGTATATTCAATACATACGTTTATAAAGACACCTATGTATACACAGTAAGAAAGCTTATATAGACATATCAATAAAGCTACCCGACAAGCTAAAAATTAAACCTCCGCCACAAGGCTAAGATAAAATAGTACAACTAATATCATTTAGATCAAGCTTTAGACTTGTTGATATCATCATGATCAAACATCTTGCACGGATTGATCTTCAGACCAACGACGAAGAATAGAAGCTCATAGATCTCAACGCTTCAGAATTGAACCAGATTGATATGTCAGAATGAATTGACATACCCAAAACTATAATCCAGTTCACTTCATAATTGTTTTCCCTGTGATGTCTCATAGAGCTTGCAATATATTCTTCATACATACAGAGTGTAGAGCGCAATCAAAATCTACATTAGTTCTAACAACTATACCAGTAAAGAAACAAACTACAAACCCTACACCTGTCAAACATAGTAAACACACTAAAATAAGGTTCAGTCCTCCATTTTAGCTTACCATCTGAAGGCTGCAAGAGCCGATCAGGATCTAGTTCACACCACAAGCCGCAAACTTTAGATCCAAGCGAAAGCTTAAATCTACAACAACAAATGTTTATCAGATCTTTATAATGACGTGTAGCACGAACACTTAGCAGAGGATGATATCAAATAGGTACTAATAATCTACTACCCTCGTTCTGTATCACAGAACCTTTTTCATAAATCCTGATAAGTCATAGTTGGCATCAGAAAACTTGACATGCGACATGAAAAATCACTAGTTTCAAAAACTACAGTACTCAAACAAGAAATAACTTCCACAATCTCTATATGAACTACAGTACATTAAACGAAGGCAATAAGACCTAACACCGCGGTACGAAACCTCGGAAAATCAAATCTAGATGTTTAAAATTGAGTTCTCTGATTCTGTAATGGTACAAAAACGAAATCAAATGCCAAGACTATTAGACATGCAACAGTATGAAAAATTAATAAAGCCACTAACCAAAAGTATCACAGGAGCTAAGTCAATGCTAATATATTCATATATGCAACAAATTGAAAGAACTAGTCAGTAATGTTGAAACTGTGGTTGTACAGACAAGCTAGTAGAGGATTTGATTTTATATCGAGATCGATGGGTTTGCAATAGCAAGTAGGATGTTAAACTGGTAATGAGAAAGCTGTGAGTACTTTTAGATGATTCATTACTTTTTGCATTAATCGTTGCTCTCTTTTTGGGAGGTTCATTCATTCCATGTACGTATTTCATTGTGGCGTACTGCGATGCTCTATCTTTGAAATCGAAATTGAGAACTTCGAGACTACCCACATGAATATATAACCACATAATTCATACAGCTTCTACAAGAAGCACAGAACAAGAGAAACGAAGGTGACTCATCTATCGTAAATCCTATTCTCTAAATCCAATCACTATAAAACATTCTCGCTTCCAGGAACAGATCTCTGTATATGATCACCACCACCCAAATGTTGATTCAAGATCACTCAAATTCTCCAACGTGCTGAGTGTTCTCTTAGTTCTATCATTGATATTCCGATTTCATGTAATTTGTACTATATGTAACTAATATCTAAGCACTTGGCTATTCGGTAGAGATATAACATGGTATAGTAACGCGGTATCCTCGCCGTCAAGTAACTCCACAAGATCAGGAACATCGATACAACCTCAAAGAAGAAATTACAGAATGAGACAAGATACGAGAATATAGAAGGAAAGAGAATACATATCAAATCTGAAAGCCGAACAGATTCGAAAAATCAAGAAATATTGATATACTGAAATGAAAATATCATCATGATAATCTGTGTCTGCAATATCAGGAATGAGGTTTCTTTGGAAATCAGGAATCAAAAATCAAATAACACATGACAAAAGAGAATGAACACTCTATATCCTTCTCATAACTTCACAGGGACTAGAAAGCATATACTCAAGAAACCTCGCTAATCAATCCCATACATATATACCCACTCTCTCACATCACATCGTATCACCTCTCCACCCAAATCCTCAACCCTCCCACCCCTCACAACCTACAATCCACACACAGTCTTCACACATGAACGAAACATAACCAGTCCCCCATCCATCCCATTCCCACAAACAATCTCCCATCTCGCACCCACCACCTAACACTCTACCAGTTCTCACTCACATCCCCCACCCTACTAGGTATTTCCCTCTCTCTACCAATACAAATTCGCCAGCCCGACAACCAAGTTCCAATTCCCATCTATCTATCCATCTATTGATCTATCCATCCACATCTCCCATGCAATTCAATTCAATTCAACTCAATTCAATCAATGTATAATTCACTCCAGCCTCCCCTTGCCAACACAGCTTGCCTCCTTCAAAATATCCATGGCTCCCGAGGTCTTCTACATACCACCGTCCTCCCACTCCATTCATTCCATTCTCCGCAATCAAAATCAAAATCAAAATCAAACCCCCATTCATTAGTAGCCATTCCATTTACCCCTCTATCTCTCTATCCCTCTAGGGGTGAGAGTAATCAGGTAATATGTCGATATATGAGATGAGATAACCAACTGTTTCAACTTACTAACTTACACACCATCCCATCTCAACCCATCTCAACCCAACCCCTCCCACCTCATCAATTCACCCATCAAAAAGCAAGCCGATCAATGAATCAAATTTTTTTTGATTCTCTAGATAATTCCAGGATATCATATCATACCATATCGCATCTTATCTTATCTTATCTTTAAATAAGTTAAAACTCCTATCCATCCATCCATCCATCCATTCCATATGAAATAGGATTTTTACCACCCCATCAACGCCTGCCTACCTAGATAATTTATCTACCATGAAACGCCATGCTCATCCATCCGTCCATTACCTAATGCCATAAATTCAAGATGTTCCTATCATCTCATCTCATCTCATCTCATCCTTTTTCATTCCATTCCATCCCATGCCATGCCATCACTCTCTACCCAATTAAGATCCACTCAAGACTTCATCCATCCATCCATCTATGCATACCATTCTACCATCCCAACCCAATCAAACCCCTCAATAATGCCAAAGAATTTTCTGACTCAAAACCCTCGCCCCCAGCATTTCAAATTCCTTCTGCCCAATCCAACTCTCATGCATTTTCATTCTCGCAAACACACTGGCGCCTTTCCAAACCACCACTTGCCCATCCATTTCCCTCGGACTCGTTCCTACCAAGATTCTCTCCGCCAAATCTGGTCTCTTTTTCTGAAGTCGATCTTCGAGGAACGGTCCGAAGCCAGGAGTCTTTGCACCACCGCCTATTAACATGATACCGCCATAGAAATCTCGCGCTTTCTTCTCATCATGTTTAGCAGCGTGGGTGATGGATGTGATGATTGCTGTGTCTAAAGCAGAGATAGGTAGGACAGAATCACGTTCGATGGCGAGATCTTTGGCGGTGCGGGCGTGAACATCGACAAACATACCTGCGGGAGGTATGGGTGTTGTACCACTATGGGTACCATTAGTACCATTTGTGGGACCAGGGGAGCCGGCTGTATGTCCATTGTTTCCAAAGACAAATGGGGCTGGAGCTGGAGCTGGCGTGCTTGCACCCTCAGGAGCAGGCGAAGCTGCAGCGGATGTAACGCTAGAATGTACTGCATTATCTGGATCTATACGAAGTAGGTTAAACGGGTTGGGCTTTTCTTTTTGTGGTGTAGAGAAGGACACATCGGCCATCCCATTAGATAAGAAATTGTTAGGATTATAGCCGTTGGCATTAGTTGCGATAGAAGGTTTAATAGCGGCCAGAATTGCAAGCTGAGCTGAAGATGTAGGGTCATCGGGTGTGTCGATATCATAAGCATTGTATGATCGATCCAAGAGCTTGCGACGGCCGTTCAATTTGTCACTATTATCAAATATCGACGGATCGTAAAAGCCCATAGGAGCAAGAATAACCTCATCATATGTTTTGAAACCATATTTATGAGTAGGTTGATTTGGTGCGCGGAGATGAAAATTGTAAAGCTGGACAGATATCTCAGCTTGATTCATGGTGCAGTACTTAATCTTTAATTCCTCCGCGAGAAGAAAGTCGTAACGTCGTTTAAGATTTATGTCGGCATACGGAAAGTGATCATAGAGCATCATTTTGATGAATGTTTCAGTAACATCATAACCTCCATACTTGAGGTTGACTCGAGAATCCTCTATGCACATACCATCCTCTACACAGCAAATTGATGTCTTTTGTGCTCCAACATCAACTACACAAGCACTTGTATAACCGGCTCCAAATGTAGCAGCGTGACTTTCTTGTACAAAGGCGACCTGCTTGAACTCAAATCCTCGAAGGCACAT